AAGTAACTTGCTAAAGGTCAGAGAGTTAATGTATAGTAGAGCCAGAATTCAAACCCAGGAAGGAGACCATAGTCCTAACCACCATGTTATGGAGCCTCTCAACATCCAGAGTTGATCCTACTCTCTTAACTAGAAAAACTCTCCTCATTTGGCTTTCTTGACAGTGTACTAACCTGGTGTTCCTCTGAGCACTGCCTGGGTCTCTTTCTGAACCTTTCTGCTTCTTGGCCCACCTCTTGCATGCTGGTTTCCTTGAGGCTCTGCCCTAAGCCTCCTTCTCTTTTTATACTACAGACACTCCTGTAGATTCAGTAACTTTCATCTGCAGATGATTCCCAAATCTAGTCTTGCTTCCTGGACTTCTCGCCCAAATATCCAGCTTCTACTCAATATCTCCTCTAGGCTGTCTGTCTAGTGAGCACTAAAATCAGCATGTGCTAGAGAGAAGTCATTATCTCCCCTGTTGCTCAACGTGTTCCTCCATCCATATTCCTTTTTCCAGAAATATGGCACTGCCTTCTACCTGATAGTGCGTCCCTCTCAGATTCCACATGCAATTGACTAGAATATAAGCTCCATGAAGGCAGAGATCTTATTTCCTTCTTGGTTGCTGATGAACTCTGGAAAATAACCAAGTGCCTGATACATTGTAGGTGCTCAATAAATACTTGGTGAGCAAATAAATAAATGAAGGAATGACCAAGTATTTGGGTTCCACATTTATTCCATTCATTTCTCCCCACCTCCACTGCTTTTGCTCCAGTCCAAGCAACCAGAATCTATCTTCCAAGCCAACTAGTATCCTTTCTTCCATTCTGCCTGCCTCCAGTCTTTTTTCCAGACTGCTTCTGTGATAATGTTTTTCAAACGAAAAATCTTACCAAGTAAGTTCCCTACTTAAAACCCTTCAGTGATTTTCAGAAGAGGTTTTGGAAGGAAAAAAAAAAAAAAAACCCTTTGGTGTTGTCCTAGTACCATTGGGATATAAAATCCCAAAGCCTTATGGCTATTTCTGTAGTATAGTGGTTATCATATTTGCCTAAAACCCTGAAGCCCTAACTTGACTCACAAGACCTTCTGCAATGTAGCCTCTGCCCACCTCTTGAGGCTCATCTCTCACCAGATGACTCCTCCCTCCCTTTACTCCAATTCTTAGGTCTTCTATTGGGTCCTCAAGCACAAGCCTGGTGTCTCTTACCTGTTAGTCTGCACTTATTCTTTTCCCTCTGTCTGTAATATTCTTTTACTCCATGTGGTTGACCCCTGTCAATCTTAAGTCTCATGAGAACATATAGTTTGCACCCTCAAATCTCAAACCCCTTAGACCACATTATGTTTCTTTGCTTTAAGCGTCTATAGCAGACTTAATATGTTTCGTCCTTTATGACCCTAACCCCTTTGTCTAAAAGCTCATGAGTCAGGGACCCTGTCTGCCAGGTTTATCTGTGTATTCCCAGCACCTAGTACAGTGGTCAATAAATATTAATGCCCCATTGAGGATTATACTGGGTTTTTCTGGCATCAGGAAATAGGTAAGTCCCTTCCTATTGGGGTTGGGAGTATATCACTTGCAAACCTGCAGTCAAGAAGTTGAGGGAGGCGGGGAAATGGGCATTTATTGAAACCTTAAAATCTGTACCCCCATAATATGCCAAAATAAAAAAAATAATAAAAAAAAAGAAGTTGAGAGGTCATCTCTAAGATTTTGTTGCTAGATTGAAATCTAATTAAATGAATCCCACATTCCTTATAGAAATATGGAATTAAAACCCCATAGGCAATTCCTTCAAGTGGGATCTTTGAAAAAAAATTAAATAAAATCCCATAGGCAGAATTTTTCCCCATATAGCTTTCCTTTTTATCATGTTTTCTTTTAAAATCCAACTCAAATGTCACCTCCCCTGTGACACCTTCCTCCTCTTTCCTGGGCGAAGTTAGTACCTCCCTCCATTTGCTCCCCAAACATCAGCTTCATGTTGTTAAAGGTAGAGATAAAAGCCCATCTGAGGATTTTGTCAAGGTTTCTTACAGATGTGTATGGTTAAGAAATGGGCCCTCTGCGTATCTACATGGAAGGGTTTTTTGCAGGGTAAGAAAAAGTTACATTACCTTGTTCACCAAGGTATGGGGATAGTTGTTTTTAATGACTAATTTCAGTCTTCTGCTCAAATCTTAAGGACATCAAAACAAATAAACCAATTTAAAAAATAGGCAGAGACAATAGACATTTGTCCAAAGAAGACATACAAACGGACTGTAAACACATGAAAGATGCTTAACATCAATAGCCATCAAGGAAATACAAATCTAAATCACAAGTTCTCACTTCTCAAGCAATAGGTTGGCTACAATTTTTAAAAATGAACAATAACAAGTGTTGGTGAGAATGTGGAGAAATTGGAATTCTCATACATTGCTGGCGGGATTGTGAAATGATGTAGCCATCTTGGAAAACAGTCTGGCAGTTCTTCAAAAAGTTAAACATAAATTTATCATATGTTTTAGTTCAGGCTGCTATAACAAATTATTATATACCGAATGGCTTATGAACAATAGAAATGTATTAATATTTCTCACAGTTCTGAAGGCTGGAAGTCTAAGGTCAGGGTGCCAGCATGGTCAGATGCTGGTAAGGACTCTCTTTTGGGTTGGAGACTGCCAACTTCTCAACCTGACTGGCTTTCTGGCCTCTTCTTATAAGGACAGTAATCTCATTCATGAAGGCTCCGCCCTCATGACCTAATTATGCCCCACTTCCAAATACCATCACACTGAGATTAGAATTTCAATACATAAAATAAAGGGGACACAAAAATTCAGTCCATTGTACCATATGACCCAGCAATTCCACTCCTAGGTATATGCCCCAAAGAAATGAAAACGTATGTCTACACACAAATGTGTGCATCAATGCTCATAGTAACATTATTCATACTGGCCAAAAGGTAGAAACAACCCAAATGTCCATCAACTGATGAATGGATGAATAAAAGGTAGTCCATCCATACCATGGAATATTATTCATCAACAAAAAGGAGTGAAGTACTGTTACATACTACAATATGGATGAGCCTTGAAAACATGCTAAAGAAGCCAGACACAAAAGGCTACATATTGTGTGATTCCATTTATATGAAATGTCCAGAATAGGCAAATCCAAAGTCAAAAAGTAGATTTGTGGTTGTCAGGGGATAAAGGGAGGAGTTAGTCGAGATGAACTGCTATTAGGCATGGAGTTTATTTGGGGGATAATGGAAATGTTCTGGAATTAAATAGAAGTGATGGGTGCATAACATAGTGAAACTACTAAAAACCACTGAAGCATACACTTTAAAATGGTGGATTAACATATTGCAATATGAATTATATCTCAATTTTTAAAATGCTAAAATTTAAAAAAATCCTTAAGGACATCATTGTGTTTGGACTAGGACTTTGTTCAGTAGTCTGTAGTTTCTTCTTTGGGAATTGTTTGTTATGTGCAGATTGGGTCGAGATTGTGGTATCCCTTGTAGAATTGTTAGTTACACACAGATTATATTATGGCAGATGGCTGTATTATTTCTCAGTCAACACTCTTTCCCCAGACATTGTAATCATACTTACCATGCTGTCCTCTACTGTAATGTATCTGTTTACAATAGACCGTGAACTTAAGAGAGCAAAGAGCAGGTCCTTTTCATCATTGTACTCTATGTGCCTAAGAGAGTGCTTGGAACATAGCAAGTGCTCAATAAGTGTATTGCTTGAAAGTAGTAATTAACTTGCATTAAATTCATTCCTATAGTAGAAAGCACAAAGTAAAATGTACATTCTTTTGTTTGCTAAAGAGCCCAGTACACATTTTTACAGTGTATTTAATATGTGTGAGGAAATAATCACAGCCCTCCACAAAATATACAAGGCAAGCCTTTCCTTCCAAAGTCTGGTAGCGACCCTGTGCACCACCAGGGCAGTAAGGAGGTAAACAAGCAGTGAGCTTCATCTGTGGCTGCTCTACTTGGGGGCACTTGTGGGGGGCAGGGGGCTCACTCTTTCAGATGTCTAGATCAGGGGTTGCCAAGCTACAGCTGGAAGGCCACGGCTGGGTTTGGTACAACCCTATTTGTACACAGCTCATGAGCCAAGAATAGTTTTTACATTTTTAAATGGTTAATGATGAATCCAAAAGAGAATACTATGTTGTAGTACATGAAAAGTATATGCTATTCAAATTTTTGTGTCCATAAATAAAGTTTTATTCGAACACAGTCATCCTCATCTGTTTACTATTTCCTGTGGCTGCTTTGTGTTTGGACAGAGACCCTATGGCCCATAAAACCGAAAATACTGACCATCTGGCCCTTTACAGAAAACACTGGCTGATCTCTGCTCTACAGTAAAAGAGTTTAGCAAATTGTGTTTCCAGGGGGCCATGTGGAAGAACACCTGGCTCTGCTGGGGACGTGGCTCCAATCTGTTGGGCTGGAGTTTCCTCTGTAACATGAGAGAGCTTCGCTGAAGGACCCCTAGAGCCCTACTAGCTCTTAACCATCTACAGTGTGTGGTGATTCCAGTCAATTCACCAAGTGGCCAATGGGGTAGAAGCACAGAGCTCTTGTCTGTAACAAAGCCACAGGGCCAGGTTGTGCCATCACCACACTCAGCTCTGAAGCAGACGCAGAACTCGCTAGCCACTGTGCCTATACAGAGCAGATTTGAAAAGTGGCTCTCTACGAGATTAAAAAATACACATTTTTGGACACTTTCATGTGCCTTTGTTTTATAAATGATGTAACCCTATTCTTTTAACCCTGGGGGAGAAGGAAATGATTAAACTAATTATTGGGGAAGGCTGGCAGCCCCAAAATTCAGGCTTTTAAAATCGAATTTAGTGCTTCCTGCAAGCTTGTTGAAATTAACCAGGCAATTGACACCTCTGGGGTTCCTTTATTGGCAGGGAAGAGTCTCTGTTGCCTTTTCTGTGTTCTGGATACTAACATGTGGTTCTTTATCTGCAGTCCAAGGGATCATGGGCTGTCAGCATTGGCACGCCAGCTTGGGGTCTGTTACTATGGAACTAAACTGGCCTGCTGCTACGGCTGGAGAAGGAACAGCAATGGAGTCTGCGAAGGTAATTTTTGTAAAAACTCAGACCCTGCACTTGGGTCAGGGTCCTTAGGTTTATACCTATGACACAATAAGCTGTCACAAAATTGCAAGTGGATTCCCCAGGGTGGGGATATGGATAACTGGAAATACCCAAGGTCTAGGTTCCTACGAGATCCATTCCTAGCCAAAAGGTGGCTGACACATTAGACATGATTTATTTTTGTCAGTTATTTCTGTTACTATCTTAGTCTGACTGAATTGTTTGTTTTTAATCTGGAGAAACTGAGATGGGCAAAACAGGCCAATAAATTCCTCCTTCTAATTGTGGTTTTTCCACCTGATTTGTAATGAAATACACTTTTTTAATTATTAATCACCCAACCAGTAGGCTTTGGCCACAAAAATGTAAGCCTTTTACCCTATAAATTTGTTCACATTTTAAAAATCCATAGTGTCAGTTTCTCAATGATCTCAAGGAACATCTGCATTATATACAAAGATTTTAAGGATTTTTCTGATTCTTTCACACATATTGCCTTGGATATTGTCTCTCAGACCATGTGTTAGGAGCTCTGATAATTAGAAGCCTCTGATAATTTCAAGCGGGTTGGGGAGGGCAGGGACAAGCATAGAGTTTTGCCTTGTTTTGTTTCTTATATGATTTTTCCTAAGGACCAACACTTGCAGTGTAGAGGAATCAAATCTGCATTCCTCTTAGCTGACTGACCAGGGATTTACGGCAGGAATCTGGTCTCACTGACCCTGCATCCCAGCGAGTATAATATGCCTGATAATAACACAACCGTGGGTCCCATAAAATCACTAAGATGTTAGCTATTTCTAGGAATACCAATTTTACCTTCTTCTTGCTGGTCTGTTCCTGTTCCAACATCCTCCACTCTAGCTGGTTCGAAAATATCTGGATTGACCATAGGTGGGGACAGAAATTGATAATATCCAAAATCCAGGAAACAATACATTGATATTGCTCCCACATGTTGCACATTATGCAAAACCTTCTGCCATCGTAGTTTTGTTGTGAAGCGATGGAGAGAGTATGAAGATGCTAGAAAAAATGAAGATCATCATTGTCCACTTAGATAAAGAAAGTAAGAACATCCCCCTGGGACCTGTGTCGATGGAAAGGGTAGATCCCCTCCTTATTGGATTTATAGAGTCATGATCAAGGGCATTGAGAACCAGACTGATGTGGGTGACCTTGGGCAAGATCAGTAAGCTAGCTATGACTCCGTGTCCTCCTCTGCAACATGGAGAGAGTAACACCTGCCTCCGAGGGTAAGGAGTGTAAGCATTAAAGAGTGTGCTCATTACCTGGCACGCAAAGAAAATACCTCATAAATTACCACTGCTTTGGACAGGGCCAATAACGCTCCATTGCCTCAGACTTCTGTCTGTTAAAGTACCAGGTGATGGGGGGATTAAAAGTGGCTTTATTCTTTTTCTAGACACAACATAACACATTTTTATTTGAAGTCAGTGAAGTGGAAAGGGGAGAAAACCACGTGAAACACATGATTTGGAATCTCTCTTACAGTCGCACGAACTTCAGCACCTGCCATAAAACTTGTAAGACCCGACATGTCGCTGGTGAATAAATGAGGGCAATCTTTAGCTTTCTGGAAAGGCTATTCTGTAACTGGATCACAGCAACCAATCACAATCACATTCTCAGTGCTTTTGTGGACTATATGATACCACAGGCATGAAAGAATTTAAAGTAAGATGTTAAAAGGGCAAGTGCAGAGGGTTCAAGGAAAATTGCTCACTATGTGAGTTTTGTAAGCTGAAGAGATTGCCCCACTACTACTGCCCCAGTCAAACATTTAGGTTTTAAATAGCAATGATTTTTATGTCTAAAATGTATATCCTATTTTATCCCATTTACATAGTCCTTCTTGGCAGTTAAAGTTATATGTAGTTAGTCCCTGATTGCTGGGTTTCTGATTTCTAAGCCAGAGCGTGGGCTGCGTGGAAATGAGGATGCACTTCAGCCCATCCAAACGAGCAGAACCAGGCTTCAGGCTGTGAGGTCCTCGTCTGCCGGGGCCTTCCTTTCCATCCATCTATTCATCCTTCATCCCTCTCGAGCCTGCATCTATGCATGCTGGAGCTTTCTAGCTCTCAGCCTCTGCCCTGCCTAAATCTGCTCCCAGGACAGGGTCTGATCAACTCAATATCATTAACGTTAAAATGTATGTTACTTTAGCCAGATCGAATAAGGAGTTGTCCACGAACACATCCTGAATGAAGAGCTGCAGATGGAGGGGATAGGGGAGAACTGAACAAGAGATTTTTTACTTTGTCTAAAACACACTTCAGGCCAGGCATGGTGGCTCACGCCTGTAGTCCTAGCACTCTGGGAGGCTGAGGCGGGCGGATTGCTCAAGGTCAGGAGTTCGAAACCAGTCTGAGCAACAGCAAGACCCCGTCTCTACTATAAATAAAAAGAAATTAATTGGCCAACTAATATATATAGAAAAAAAATTAGCCAGGCATGGTCGTGCATGCCTGTAGTCCCAGCTACTTGGGAGGCTGAGGCAGAAGGATTGCTTGAGCCCCGGAGTTTGAGGTTGCTGTGAGCTAGGTTGACGCCACGGCACTCACTCTAGCCTGGGCAACAAAGGGAGACTCTGTCTCAAACTAAACTAAACTAAACTAAACTAAAATAAAATAAAATAAAATAAAATAAAATAAAATAAAATAAAATAAAAAACACACTTCAATCTCAGGCCATTTTAGACACAAACTGAGTTTCCCCTTGCTGTAGGTTGGCTGTTCAAGTCACAGATCCAAAGTTATATAAATTGAAAACATCTTTCTGAAGCTTTGACCTTATAGCAAGTGTATTATTCACCATTTCTCCTATGTTCTATTTGGCTTTTATCTGGGCTTTCCTGTCTGGATCACATTGGAAATCAGTTTCCAAGGGAACAACCAGAGGTCTTCAAGGCTTAAAATAAATAAAAGATTTATTTTTGTAACATCTGAATTTAAAGCTGCATCTCCAAGTACATATCCACAACAAAATAGACACTGGAAATTAAATTCTATCCCTTTTGTCTCTAAAAGTAAAAAATCCTTGCTGAGGAAGCATTTTTCCCCTATGATTTGTTCAGGGCCATAAAACGTTCCCCTATTAAAAAGTCTACACCTATTATTTTATTCATTATTCAAAAATATTTGAATATCTAACATGCTTATAACATTATATTTAGTGTTGTAGGAGAAACAATGATGAATGTTCAAGTCCCTGTCCCAAAGGCACTTGGAAGCAAGGAATAGGTAGAAGTCAAGGATAGTGAAATTATGCCTGATTATTTTTTTTGGATGAATATATTGAATTTATTCTCTTTGAGTCTGCCTAATTTTCTTATGCCTAATTATTTAATATGACAAAAACTGATCAGTTTCACAGGAGAGGCCCACCAAAGTACTGTGCAGTTCTCAAAGTTGAGCACAGGTTCACAGGAGGCTGGAAAAAAATCTGTGAAGGCTTCTAGAAGAAAATGTCATGCAAGGTGGTTCTTGAAAAACGGGGAGGAGATTCACCACTAGAGGGTCGGGGAAGGGTACCCAAGTAACAAGAGGTAGGAAGAGGCAGAAAGCAAAGGGTAGGTCTAGAGAACAGCAGTTGGTCTATTTTGGCTACAGTGTTGTCTATATCAAGGGAGGCTGGAAAAGAAGGTGGAGGCCAGATCGTGTTGAGTTTAGATTGGTTATGATACCTGTACTGTATTCAGGAGGCAACAGTGATTACATGATGATCTCTGTGTAAAGTGTGGCATGATCAGAGCTATGCTTTTGGAATATCAGTTTGATGTCATATCTGACATTAAGTTTCCTAGAAGCAGAGCATGAAAGGGAGATTCTTGTACAAATATTCCATCAGGGGTGGTCTTAGGCATCTGCAAGGGAGTGGAGCTGCAGAAAAAGAAGCGAGGCAGACACATGCTTTCAAGAGAAGTCTAGCTTCAGCCTGATTCCACAGGGACCTCTAGAGTATTGATTGCACCGCAGAGTTTTTCTTGCCAAGAAACAAGGCACTAGGCTGTTAGTAGACCCTGCACCAGTGGGGCACCATCATAGGCCATGGTGGGGAAAGCAGGGAGAGGGAGGGTTTGGCATAATTTCCCAGATATCTGTGAGCAAGGCAGTTTCCATTAGCTAGATAAATATTTGTGCAATGAACAAATTAGAAACAGATATAGGATGCTGTAACTGATTGACTTGGAAATAAGAAAAAAGAGAGATGACTGAGATTTTGAGTCCAGGTACCTGGGAAAGGAATGGTGACATTAACAAAAAAATAGGGTTTGGGGTTGTAGGGAAAGATACTGGGATCTTTGGGACCCAGCTTGCTTAGAGGTGGCCCTAGTATGAGCCATAGGAATAGACAGATGGATAAGTAAGCAGCATTGCCAGGCAGTTGCTGTGTCCTACTTTCATTCTATGGCAATTTCCTGAGCTCCTACTAGATGCAGAAACAGCTGAGAGACCTCAATACCCTGCAAGCCTCCTTTCTCTCTCATTTGTTATTTTTTCTCCTTCTCCCCTTCTTCTCTTAGGGTTTTCCCATTTTCCTTTCTTCCTATCTACTGCTTTTTCCTCCATATCTCCTCCCTGTGAGCTGGACTCAAACTGTCTATCACCTTTGACTATTTTTTTTTCTTGCCCCCAACCCAGTCAGCTACAACATCCTATCCCTATTTTTTCTCCCACTACTTTATTCATTGAAAAATATTTATCGAGTGCCAACTTTGTGTCAGGTGTTGGAATGCAGAAGTGAACAAAACCAAAAAATAAATCCTGCCTTTTGTCATGGTTTCTCACGCCTCCATCATCATCATCATCATCACATCATGATGCTTTTAGTCCCCATCCTTAGGGCTACAGGTAGCGCCTTCGCACTTCCAATCTGTTGAGTCTCACTGATAATGCCCAGCATTAAAAAAGTTTTGATCATCCAAAAGGAAAATAGAGAAAATATGGAGGAGACACAAAGAGGCAAGAGACAGAAAGAAGGGAAGGGGGCTGGGCACTTGCCCCAGGCTTACTCTGGAGCCTCTTCCAGTGCAAACATTATACTTTTATTAAATGTTTTGTGTTTACATGAAAACTGGCTGACTGCAGGGTGGGAAGCCTTATATTTCTTTGAATCCCACTGGAGGTGTGGCAGTGCTGACCAAAGTCATAACAAACTTGCGTGCAATGGGTGCAGAGGGCAGGGGGGGGGGATCTTGTTCACAAACAAAATACTTTCTGGAATCTGAAAGTTGAAAACAGACTAGAGAGGAGGCAGATCATCCTCTGCGAGTCCCCATGGAGTTCTCTGCCATACGAAAGGTGACTGCATTCGAAGTGCATGCATTTCACTGAGCTAACTACTCTGATCTTTGATCATCAAGACATTTTTTCCTTTCACAGCTACGTGTGAGCCTGGATGCAAGTTTGGCGAATGTGTGGGACCAAACAAATGCAGATGCTTTCCAGGATACACGGGGAAAACATGCAGTCAAGGTCAGTACGATAGCCCAGGTTAGATCATTGCAGTGGTGCTGGTAACACAACATGGTGCGCAGGATTTCTTAGGTTTTTTAAAGTCAAATCTTCAAATGAAGATGATTTCAGGACAAGATTTTTCATTTCATATCTTTTTTTTTTTTTTTTTGAAACAGAGTCTCACTCTTACCTGGGTTAGAGTGCCATGGCATCAGTCTAGCTCACAGCAGCCTCAAACTCCTGGGCTCAAGCAATCCTCCTGCCTCAGCCTCCCGAGTAGCTGGGACTACAGTTGTGCACCACCATGCCCGGCTAATTTTTTATATATATTTTTAATTGGTTAATTAATTTCTTTCTATTTTTAGTAGAGATGGGGTCTCACTCTTGCTCAGGCTGGTCTCGAACTCCTGACCTTGAGCAATCCTCCCACCTTGGCCTCCCAGAGTGCTAGGATTACAGGTGTGAGCCACTGTGCCTGGCCCAGGACAAGATTTTTCAGTCTCTTCTTGAAAAATGTGAAAAGTCTGATGTTTTTGTCAAGATGCCCAATGAAAGGCCTTTTTTCCCCAAACACAAAATTTTATTGTGTTTTTTAAACTACCTACACAATAACATTTTAATTTTAAAAAGCCCAATAGTACAAAAGAATATAAATTAAAAATGAGTCTCCACCCCTAATCCTTACTATAATTTTGTCATAGATATTCAAAGTCCTTTTCTATGATAGTACAAACATAAGTATTTCTCATGGGCATCTTTATATGTCAGCACACACAGAGCTACCATATACTTATAAGGCTGTATCCTAGTCCCTAGTGTGAATACTTTTATCCTTTATGCAAAAAAATACTTTATTTAAACACTATTGTTTATATTGTCTCCAATTTTTTGCCATTTCAAACAGTGCTAAATAAAACATCGTTCTAGGAATATCCTTGCACTCTTCAGTATTTTTTAGGATAAATATCTAAAAATGTAATTGTTGGATTGAATGATATGTATGTTTTTATCGAAATTGATATATTTTAAAAGACAACTTAAGACTTTTGTCATAGACTATTTGTCGGAAGACATTAAAGAATTTATTTATAATATCTAGAACAGTGGTTCTCAACATGGGTGATTTTGACCCCCAGGAAGAGTTGCCAAATAAAATGCAGATACACAGTTAAATTTAAATATCAGATAAACAACAAATAATTTTATATTATACATATGTTCCAAATATTATATGGGACGTTAAAAGTATTAGTCATTTATCTTATCTAAACTTCAAATTTAACTGGGAATCTTATATTTTTATGTGCTAAATGTGGGAGCTTTACCCCAAGGGACATCTGGCAGTGTCTGAGGACATTTGTAAGGTGTGCTACTGGTGTCTAGTGCATAGAGACCAAGGATGCTGCTAAACATCCTACAATGCACAAGATAGCCCCCCAAACAAAGAATGTTCCAGCACCAAACATCACTAGTACTGAGGTTGAGAAACCCTGCTCTAAATATGGTGAATAAAAATACCTCATTGGTACAAGGGTGATTTCGTCACCCAGGGGACACTTGGCAATATCTATAGACAATTTGGGTTGTCACAAGTGGGTGTGGGAGGTCCTACTGGCATCTAGTGGATGAATCCCAGGGGTGCTGCTAAACACCCTACAATGTACAGAACAGCCCCCACAACAAATAATGATCTAGCTCAAAGTATCAACAGAGGTTGAGAAATCCTGGCATGAAGAAACCTGTAATAATTAAGAAAGGGTCCCCAGTCCTATAATGAAATTGAGCAAAGAGCAGGAAACCCATTTCAGCTGTCCTTAAGAAAGGCTGCCAGGGTTCTAGAAAAGGGGAGAATGAAGTTTCAGAGAAGGCCAGGGATCCACTCCACTCTGCCATTCCCAGCCCTTGTTGCCAAGCCCAGAGGTTAGCCCCATACGCTGAAATCGCCATTTTTCGAACTGCTTGCTAGCCCTGCAGTCTTGGGGAAGAGTATCTGAATCTCTTATGTCCTACCACCAACATACAGGCCAGGGCCCCGAAGGTTCTTCTTAGAATTGCATCCAACTTCTTGAGAGAGGAGTGTCAAGAATCATGCTCTCATAAGTAATAATTCAGCTGTACCCTTTACAAGAGGTTTTACACCAGAAAGCTTGTTTTTCTGTGTGTTTTGGATTCTGTACCAAGATACCTACTCAAGGGATTTAGAATGGAGACAATATTTTTCATGCTAGTTCTTAAGTCCCAGTAAAATATTAACGTTGAGGGAGTGATCCAGTTGGCTCCAGTTTTGGGGCTGTCTGTCTTGCACCTCCTCCGCAGCCTCCCTGCCCGGTGGCAGCCTGATCAAAGTCCACATACATCCATTAATGGCAATAGGCCTCAGGCCACAACTGTTGTCTTCCCAAAATGCTCCTTCCAAGTAAGTCACCTCTGAGTTAGGGCCAAGTGATGGGGTGTTCCTGGGTGTCCCATTATGTCCAATCAGCATTTCTCAGTTGCCCCCTTTGAAGCCATCAGAATCTGTAAGGGAAATGGTAGGGTAGAGGGGACAGGCAATAGACTGAAGGGTTTCAAATGTCCAGCTAAGGCCTTGGAAAATCCCCACATAAGGATTTTTTCAGAGGCAAAAGCAGCCACTTCTTTTTTTTTTTTTTTTTTTTTTTTTTTTTTTTTGAGACAGAGTCTCACTTTGTTGCCCAGGCTAGAGTGAGTGCCGTGGCGTCAGCCTAGCTCACAGCAACCTCAAACTCCTAGGCTCAAGCGATCCTCCTGCCTCAGCCTCCCGAGTAGCTGGGACTACAGGCATGCGCCACCATGCCCGGCTAATTTTTTGTATATATTTTTAGTTGGCCAATTAATTTCTTTCCATTTATAGTAGAGACGGGGTCTCGCTCTTGCTCAGGCTGGTTTCGAACTCCTGACCTCGAGCAATCCGCCCGCCTCGGCCTCCCAGAGAGCTAGGATTACAGGCGTGAGCCACCACGCCTGGCCTGCCACTTCTTATTTTCAAAAATGTTGCCAGACCAGGCCCGGTGGCTCACGCCTGTAATCCTAGCACTCTGGGAAGCTGCAGGGTGGATCACTCAAGGTCAGGAATTCGAAACCAGCCTGAGCAAGAGCGAGACCCTTGTCTCTACTAAAAATAAAAAGAAATTAATTGGCCAACTAAAAATATATAGAAAAAATTAGCCGGGCATGTGTGGTCATGCCTGTAGTCCCAGTACTCAGGAGGCTGAGGCAAGAGGATTGCTTGAGCCCAGGATTTGAGGTTGCTGTGAGCTAGGCTGACGCCATGGCATCTAGCCGGGCAACAGAGTGAGACTCTGTGTCAAAAAAAAAAAAAAAAAAAAAAAAAGGATGCTGCCATGCTGAATTTTCTCATCTTACATGGAATTTGGTGGTGGTTTTCTCTTTTCTCTGTCTTCCTTGGGGGAGTTCAGATAGGAGGCCCCCATATGACCACATTTCCAGAGACAAGATTCTCAATCCACCATCCCTTTTAAAGTTTTATTTTCTTTCTGTATCATTTTCTATTTTCATAAAACTATTATTTATTCTTAATCATTAATTTTTTCAAGAAAACACTGCAAAGCACAGAGAAGAAAGTCATCCTCGAGCTTACTACCTGAAGATAACCATTAGTAACGTTTCGAGAATATCTTCCTGGGCTTTTTTTCTATGCAAATATTTTTTTTATAAATTTGCGATCAATCTGTTACGTAATTTTGTAACCTTTTATCACTTAACAATATCCCACAAACATCTTTATATGGGATTAAATATTGTCCTCCATCTGCACCGCCAATAGCTGCCTGACAGAGCTCCCTCTAGAAGGATGTGAGCCAAGGGAACGTGGCCAAAGCAGGGGCCACTAGAAATAATAACTGAAAAGAGGCTGTGCTGGTGGCATCTGCCATAGGCTGCTTGGGATAACATAAAAGTCAGAAATATCTAAATTTTCTATTTCTAACTTTTGTTCAAGTAATGTACACATAAAATTGTGCATATATAAAAAACACACAGCTCAGTGAATTTTCCCAAGCACCCATTAACAAGTATCTAGATCAAAAAACAGGTACTTAGCCCCCCAGAAGACCCCTCATGCCCCTGGTGTCCACTCCCACCCCCAAAAAAAGAACCATACCTTGATCTCTTATATCACAGACTAGCTGTGCCTGTTTTTTAGCTTTGTCTAAATGGACTCATATGGTGTGTAGTTGCTTGTGTCCAGCTTCTTCCACTCAATATCATCATTTATGAGATGCATCCATTGTTGTCTGAAGTTGTAGTTTGTTCAGTCTCATGGCAGTATAGTATTCCATTGTGTGAATATATAAGTTGTTTCTCAAGCCTTCTGTTAGGAGGTATTTGGATTAATTCCAGTTTGGGGCTAATCTTAGATTAGTGCTATTATGATCGTTTTAGTATGTGTCTTGGGATTTTCTTTTGTGTGTGCGTGTGTGTTTGGAGCACAAATCCATGTTTCTTTCTGTTGGGTACGTACCCAGGACTGGAATTGTTAGGTCATGGGTATGTCCATATATAGCTTTGATAGATTCAGCCAAGCAGTTTTCCAAAATGTTTGTGCCAATTTACATCCTCCCAGTGGCATATGATTATTCCGTTTGCTCCATATTCTCACCAGTCCTTCAAAATACAATTTTAAGGTCAGAGAGGAGGCAAGTAAGTGGTGGGGTCCAGGAGAGCCAAGCCAGTTGTCCTTCCTAAGATCGAGGTCTGATACTGCCCGCTGGTGTTTCCCAACTCAGTTAATCGTCCCTGCTTTCTGACTGCCCCTGCAGACGTGAACGAGTGTGGACTGAAGCCCCGGCCGTGCCAGCACCGATGCGTGAACACCCATGGCAGCTTCAAGTGCTTGTGCCTCAGTGGCCACATGCTGATGCCAGATGCCACCTGCGAGAGTAAGTTTCAACAGCTACGCTGCTCTCGGTCAACGTGTGAGGCTTGGCTTTTGCAGTGTAATGCTTGGGAAAAAGCTGGCTCAAGTGATTTTTTTTAAAAAAGATCTCTAATATTGCCCCAGGCTAAAACACTTTTGGGCATTTGCTTTTTAAAAATATATATATGGTAAAATACATATAACATGAAATTCACCATCTTTTTTCTTTTTTATTTTTTGAGACAGAGTCTCGCTTTGTTGCCTAGGCTAGAGTGAGTGCCGTGCATCAGCCTAGCTCACAGCAACCTCAAACTCCTGGGCTCAAGCAATCCTCCTGCCTCAGCCTCCCAAGCACCTGGGACCACAGGCATGTGCCATCATGCCCGGCTGATTTTTCCTATATGTATTAGTTGGCCAATTAATTTCTTTCTATTTATAGTAGAGATGGAGTCTTGCTCTTGCTCAGGCTGGTTTCGAACTCCTGACCTTGAGCAATTCACCCACCTCGGCCTCCCAGAGTGCTAGGATTACTACAGGCGTGAGCCACCGCGCCCCGCCGAAATTCACTATCTTTACCGTTTTGAAATGTACAATTCAGTGTCATTTAGCACTTTCACAATGTTGCACCACCCTCACCACTATCAAGTTCCAGAACATCTTCATCCTCCCAAAAGGAAACCAGACCCATTAGCAGTCACTCCTCATTCCCCTTCCTCCAGCCCCTGGCGACCACTAATCTACTTTCTGTCTCCATGGATTTGCCTGTTCTAGACACTTACTTTATAAATAAAAAGACTAACGGGGGGGGAATAAATTATCTGCATCTGCATCTCTACATATGTGGGGACGTGTTGGATTTCTTCATGAAAATAAGCACGTTGAATAAAATAAGCGTATTGTTTTAGGGAGGTGATACATTTAAATTCCATCTCGGGACATCAGTTCTTCCCACCAGCTACCTTTCTCATGCCCCTTGCCCCACTCCCAAAGATTAGTGACGCTGGTTGGAAACATATTCCGACTCACTCACATTCCTGAAAAGAAAAGCCCTTCTGTGATAAAGAAATACTCATGTCCTGTGGGAGGGTGAGAGTCTACATCCATTCATTTATTGAGAGGGAAAGCTTTTCAGGTTTTATGTTGCCGCTGAAAGGCAAATCCATCCTCCCTGCCTGCCTTCCCTCCTCCCCTCTTCCCTCCTCATCTCTCTTTCCTCCACCCTGCAGCCCCTGACACCTCAAGCCTGTGCCTTCAGCCAGCTTCCTGTAGTTGTGGGGTCGCGTGGATTCCCCAGCCCATCCTTGACTTTCTCAAAGTTTTAATATCTCGCCTGGGGCATGGCTCCCTGCTCCTCAGATTTTTCCTTGTCCTGTCTCCTCCCTGGCCAAGTGTCCCAACACCTCTGGTCATTGAGATCTTCCATTAACAAGCAAGCCCGAGAGATAAAGCAGGCATTTGAGGGGCTTTATTAAAAAAAATCCTTATTATTATAAATTAAACAGAAACCCATGTGAAACCAATGCATAATTTAATGAATTCTTATAAGTCAAGCACCCTTGTAACCGCCACCAAATAGAACTTTGCCAGAACTTCCTCCCTCCAGCCCTCCCTAAAAGGGACCCTCTATCTAGGCTTTTATAGTAATCACTTCAAGGTTTTCAAAAGATAGACTCTAATGGATATTTCTGAAACATTCCATGAAGGGCCAATCAGTGCCAAAAAAGATATCTTTCCTCAAATAAAAAGATAGAATTAGGTTAATTTTGAAGATGAATTTTAAAAGAAGACAACTAAAGAGAAAAGAAGAAAGAAGTGATGCAACCATGGGTAGGGGGTTGTTACATTACACTGGATCTTTTATCCCTGTACCCTCTTTCTAGTTCTATATATCTAGTGGTTACCTGTGCCTCCCTGTTTATAGCTCAAAGACTCCTCTCCTGGGTGCTGATTTGATTTCACCTGGCCCCTTGGATCTCTTTGTCCAGCTTGGTGACTGGCATGTTGTGGAGGGGGCAGAGGGAGGGAGTATATCCACTGTCCCCTCTGTTGTGAACATTGGGATGGAACCATATGAGTTCTTACCCCCATACATATTATGATCCACACATACTGGCCCCCTGCTAAGGAAATGCATTTTTATAAGATAAGTTATGTTTAGCGACAAGTGACAGGAAAATCCAACTAGATTCTGTTATTTATTTAAAAAAGCTGGAGGCAAGCAGTTCCAGAGCATCTCAAGAAGGACTCAGTCTTTGCCATCATTCATTGAGACATCATTATTCTCATGCTTGTAGACTCATAGTCACAATACGGCTGCCCCAGCTCCAGATATCACACACACATAGAAAGTAGACAAAACCAAGGGGGTAGGGGTGATGCTAATGAACTAATGCCTGTTTCATGCTTGATCCCTTTTATCAGCAACATCTTTTCCAGAAGCCCCATTCCTTCCAGTGGACTTACCTTTATATTTCTTTGGCCACACTGGGTCACATGGCTATTCCTTGCTGCAAGGGAGGCTGGGAAAAAGACAAGTATCTAGCTTTCCAGCCTCAATGGTGGGAATGGCAAGAGAAAAGGAGGATCAGAATGGCTTGCAGGCAGCTGATTAGCTATATCTGCCACATGATTTAGTACCAACACTTAAAACTCCAAGTTTCATGACTCAAGTGGTCATCACTGAGGCTAGATATCCGTGGAAAGATCTCTGGAATGGATTATTTTACCCTAATTACTCAGGTTGTTAATCTACATCATGGGTTCCATTTTCAACCTATAGAGGCTAGTCAGGTGACATAAAGGAGTGACTAGAGCATACACAAGAGGAGAGAGATGCAGTCTGAGGGGTGCATGCCCTACCCAAAGATGATCCATTTCAATGCAGTGGCCCACAAAACAGACTATGGGTGACATTGAGCCCAGGGGCCATCAAGATGCCACCCCAGTCCAGATTCCTTTTGGCTGTCCGTTTGGAACTCAGATAATGAAAATTGTCCTGTAATGCCATTCTACCTATTCTATTTAATGTCCCAGAATTCAGAGATAGTTTCTTAGTGCTTTTTATCTCTGGAGGGAAAGGCTAATGCATGTCTCCTTTTTCAGACTCTAGGACATGTGCCACAACAAACTGCCAGTACGGCTGTGAAGACACAGAGGAAGGGCCACGGTGTCTGTGTCCAGCCCGGGGACTCCACTTGGCCCCAAATGGAAGAGCCTGTGAAGGTAGAACGGCCGGAATCGCCTCCACTCTTCATCCTCATCCTCCTGTGACTCCACTTTACTGAACTCCTTTTTTCATTCATCACGATCAGCTTGTTGACCAGACATTACAAACTTCTAAAAGTACAGATTTATGTCCATTTCTGAGACGATGTCTTTAGCCACATATGCTCTAGACATACTTTGGGATGCTAAAAAGAACATTTCTCTATTATTTTGGATTATCTAATGCCATAGTGGAAAAAGGATAAATTTATTTTAGTATATTTACCTTAAACATTTTACTTCAATTACTATCCAATAGAAACTATACTACTTATAGGTTGTCATTTAATGAGTAGAATTTTCAGTCAAGGTGCTGGATGTTTATTTATCCTAAATGTATACAATGTCATAAACTGCATTTAGAAGCTCAGCCAAATAGGTCCTAAGCGAGTTAAACACTTACTTAAAAATATATATGTAAATTAAAACTTTGTTTCTACTCTTTGAGAGTATTTGAAGATTTAATTAGGTTCACAGGGTTTAGTACTCTTTAGAATAATGAGATTTATATGACAAGGCTAATTCTTGACCAAACTGAATCCAAATTTCCACCCACCTCTTTGATTTGTTGGGTGCCATTTTCATTGGAAGGGAAAGATGACATGCATGAAAGTGATCACTGAAAAATAACTTCAGTCAACCCAACACTTATTTGTTATTTTAAGAGTGAAACAGGAACAATAAGCCAGCACCAACTGGCATGTTTAACCACAGGTCCAAAAGAACAACATAACATCTATTTGATTTGACATCTGAAAGTTGAAGCAAAGCCTGGATGTCACTGGATTGATCAGCATAGCTGTCAGCCCCTCTGTACCCTGACTTCCAATGGTAGCAAAGGAACACACCTATTGTTGGCTAAAATTATGTCATTACGAAGCTACACCTGACCCACAACGTATGCATAAGTGCACCCCGACATGACCACATTTCTGTGATTTGAGTCAATATCGCAGAAGCCTTGGAGGATCTTACTAATGAAATAACTCTTTTGTAAAATGTGAATTTTAAATGTCTATGTATTTGGTTTAAATGTCTATGTATTTGGTTTGCTTAAAAATACAGCTCTCTGGATCTATTTTCAAAAGTTGTATGTTATACCGTGTACATAGCTGGGGAAAATATTCACTCAGCACACATGTAACATACAAGTGCCAAGTGCTAGACATACACTTTCTACCCCAGAAGAGCCAGGGCCTAACAGGAGAGAAGATGTGAATATAAGTAGTGACATTATAACAAGCTAATGCCTCTTTTTAAAAAAAGGGATGGGGGTGGGGGTGGGGGTGGGGGCGGTGGCTCACGCTTGTAATCCTAGCACTCTGGAAGGCCAAGGTGGGCGGATTGTTCGAGGTCAGGAGTTCGAAACCAGCCTGAGAAAGACCCTGTCTCTACTAACAATAGAAACTAATTGACCAACTAGAAATATATATACAAAAAATTAGCCAGGCACAGTGGCGCATGCCTGTAGTCCCAACTACTTTGGGAGGCTGAGGCAGGAGGATTGCTTGAGCCCAGGAGTTTGAGGTTGCTCTGAGCTAGGCTGACACCACGGCACTCACTCTAGCCTGGGCAACAAAGTGAGACTCTGTCTCAAAAAAAAAAAAAAGGTATAAAATGATATAAATACATAAAGGGAAATGCTGTGTGTGGGCCTGGGTGGGCAGATCTAGAACACTTCCCAGAGGATATGGTGTTGGCACCAATACAATCTAATCCATTTTCAGGTAAAGAAATTGTGCATGTGTGTGTGCATAATGCATCGTATATGCATGTAGATGGCTACTTTTCTTGCTGTCACCAACACCTTTTGGTTCTGCACCCTAGATATTGATGAATGCGTTTCTGGTAAAGCCGTGTGTCCCTACAATCGAAGATGTGTGAACACATTTGGAAGCTACTACTGCAAATGTCACATTGGTTTCGAACTGCAATATATCAATGGCCGATATGACTGTGTAGGTAAGATTCGGCAGTATCTTGTCCTTTTTTTTCCTCTCCCCACCAAACCTATGGGTTTTCTCTGCAGATATTTTGGTGTCAATTCAATCTATTAGTTGAAGAATCTACTGAACTGACCAGCTTAACAACACAGAAAAGGTTTTGTTTGTTTGTTTGTTTGTTTTTTTAAAGTCTCTGGCATTTAGGGAACTCCAGTGACCTCAATTATGAAGCCAGGACAATAACGATTTAAAATAACGAATATATCTCTCTTATGGAGATGAATATCTCAGGCTGATTTTTGTGTGTGTGTTTTTTTAATTTGGTTTTTGTTTTGTTTATATTTTTGGTTTTATCTCCAGGTACACATCTAAAAATGGGAATAATAAAGCAGTATTTATATTTGATTAAAGGAAGAATAACAAGGCCTATCTAATATTGATCTCAGGGGTCTGTTCATAACAGTTTCCATCAGGGGTGACTATAGAAAAATGTATGAAGGAGATGAAGGCACATGCTCTTTCCTCCTTAGCCCTTTCATAGTTCTAGGTCCAAATAAAAGGTTCCCTTCCGTGTTCACCAAAATCACTATCTGTTAAGACTCTAGTACCAGTCAGCTATTGGCCTAATTTGTGTGAGATAAAATGTTTTATCACTCAGTGAAGGCATTCAAGTCTCAGTGAGCAAGTGGGTAGGGTATTTGGGGAGCCCTTGGATGCATTCCCATCGCTCCTGATATAATGTAGGATGGAGCCTGTCCTATAGGGAAGAGAAATTCAGGCAGCCTATAGATTCCTAGTCACATAACATGTGTAACAAAGGTGTGTGCATGGCATGGAAAATTAACACTTGGGGGGAAAAATTGGATTTATTTTTTTCAACCCTACACTCAGGGCTTCCCAGGATACATGTTGTGTAATCACATTGGGGCAACACTCAATTACTGGGCTTTGAACCATCTTGTGAAGCCTCCACAGCTCTTCCCTCAAATCTCAAACAAAAAGACCATTCTAGAGAGGCTTATAAAGTCCACTTCCCTCATGTGCTTAGATCCCATATCTTCCTGCAGACCCATCCAGCCCTGTAGTCCGATGATGCTGTGTTACAGTGTATAATCTGTTTCACAGGACAGGGTAGAATCCACATGGAAAGCTTCAAAAAGTGATTAAGAGTAGCATCTGAGCTCCCTTTGTGGCCAAATTAAAAACAACAGGCTATTTTGTGTGCATATGTCTCCAAATGCATAGATAGAAAATGGGATGTTGAATAGGGCAGACAACCCTCTTACTTGAATGGAGTTTGGCAATTTCTCCTCCTCTAAATCCAGCAGAGGAGCTCAGACCAGCCTGACCCTTTTTCCTGGCAGTCTTTGGACACAATGCCCATGCCTGTGAGTCCAGATGATGTCAGTGGTCCCTGGCTGATCTTGTCTTTTGTTTGTTGAGTTTTAAGCCCTTCCAACTAGTGAATTGATCTTCTGATGTTGTTATTTAGTTCTAACATAGGCAAATGAAAAGGTAAGAGAAAAGCCTAAACATCTTACAGAGTTCCTTGGCATTGATAATGAACTTGCTGTTGGGGCAAGGGGAGCTGCAGACACACTCCCCAGGTACCAATCGTCAAGCAAAGCCAGGGCCTCCACCAATGTGCCTGGAGTCTCGAACACCTGTCAGCTCTCAGGCAACATTTGGTTTGTTGGGAGCGTTGAGTAGTTGGCCCTGGAGTTGCTCACGTATAAGGGATGGTCTTTCAGTAAGCTTTTTTACCACAAAGTTGTTCACTGGCATGCTCATATTTTTAGATACAGATGAATGTGCTATGGAAACCCATGTGTGCAGCTTCCACGCCAATTGCCTCAACACCCATGGATCCTTCAAGTGTAAATGCAAGCATGGATATAAAGGCAATGGACTGCACTGTTCTGGTAAGTAGCATTTGGTCATGGTGTCGTAGCTATTCCGAATAAAGCATTCTCTCCATATGGCTTTTCTCCCTTTGTTTCTCCCTTTCTCGCTCTCCTGCTGTCTCTTGCTCTCGCTCTGGATGTGTGCAATGTTTGAATTGAACTCTGCCTCAGCCTTGTCTTCTTTGCTAATTGGACCACATCTCTAATACTCCCTGAAGTTGTAGGCACTGAACTTAAAGAACAACAAGAGTACTTAATATTTTTCTGATCACAACTAACTTTCAAATACTGAAAATAAGATTTCAAGTCAAAAGACACTGAGCAAATGTATCTGTAAGGATAAACTAGGTTATGGTGCAGCACTAAGCAATCCTAAAATGTCAGTGGCTTAAAACCACAAAGGTTTTTGGCCATGTGAATCAGGACTTTTTCCAGAACACACAACTGAAACAAACTATGATGATCGTGACCTCACTTAATTTGTCATCCTCAAGCCTAGATTCACTTGGTTTAATGTGTAGCAAAAAGTTCCATTGTTCTTACTGGTGAATTCTTTAATGCTTATGTGTGCAAACTTTAAATGTGTGAATCAGATGTATACATAAAATAAAATCACTGCTATTAACAATTAAAACAATAAAGGTTTCTCACTCATGCTATGTCCAAAGAGAGTTTTCAGGGGGTTTCTTCTCAATATAGTCCCTTAAGGACAAAGGCTGACAGAAGCCCCACCATCTTATGTTACCACGGTATCAACCCCAGGCCTTAGGGCTTGTCACAGCAGGGAAAGAGGCATGGACAGTCATGTACCAGCTCTTAATTAATTCATCTTGGGCCAGGCGCAGTAGCTCACGCCTGTAATCCTAGCACTCTGGGAGGCCGAGGCAGGCGGATTGCTTGAGATCAGGAGTTCAAAACCAGCCTGAGCAAGAGCTAGACCCCATCTCTACTATAAATAAAAAGAAATTAATTGGCCAACTAATATATATAGAAAACATTAGCCGGGCATGGTGGCGCATGCCTATAGTCCCAGCCACTCGGGAGGCTGAGGCAGGAGGATTGCTTGAGCCCAGGAGTTTGAGGTTGCTGCGAGCCAGGCTGACGCCACGGCACTCACTCTAGCCTGGGCAACACAGTGAGACTCTGTCTCAAAAAAATAATAATAATAATTAATTCAGCTTGGAAGTGTCTAACTTCAAGGGGCAAAAAATAATAATAATCCTGCTGTGTGCCCCAAAGGAGAAAAAACTAGATATCTCGGTGAATATCTAAAATGGCTGCCAAGGCAAGTCAGCTATGATTACAATGCAGTCACTCCCCTGGTAAATAGTGTCTTACAATGTTTCAAGTCATCCAGGCTATGTCCCTTTTAGCTGGCTCATCATGTGACCAGACGTGCCGACTGCCCCGACTCAGCTCACTCATATACCCCTTAGCAGAGTCCCCACAAGTTCAAGAAATATGGCTGCAAGTTGTGCCCTGACCTACAGCACATTCCATGCCTCCGTGTGGCCAGTGCTCCTGATGACACTAATGGCTGTAAGAGTGTCCACTCAGCCATGCAAAAATAAACTCTATGTACCATGATAGACATTTAGTGGCATAAAAGGTTCACAGCACCCCAGTGGACTATGATTGAGCACCACTGAACAAGAATGTGTACAAAAGAATATAACCAAATGAGTTTGGAAATCAAATTCTATGAAGAACCACCAAAAGAACAGGGCAGCATTTAGTCTGGATTAAAAAAAGAGTATGGAAAAGCATAAAGTGTGCTTGTAAATATTTCAAGAAATGTGGCTTCCCCAAGCAGACTAAGTCCAGTGGTGGTTACATTCTCTCTCTTTTTTTTAATTTTTAAAAATGACTGCTAGATAGGTATCTAAGAGCAGAGCAGGGAACCTCACAGAGTGGGGACATCTCACTGTCCCAAGCTCTCAGGCAGGGGCTCTGGGTGAGTTTCCTGCATTGGGCTGACATGGGATTAAATGACCACTCAGTCTCCAGCAACTCGGTGCTGTGTTTTTTTGTTGTTTTTTTTTTTTTTTTTTTTTGAGACACAGTCTTGCTTTGTTGCCCAGGCTAGAGTGAGTGCCGTGGCGTCAGCCTAGCTCACAGTAACCTCAATCTCCTGGGCTCAAGCAATCCTTCTGCCTCAGCCTCCCGAGTAGCTGGGACTACAGGCATGCACCACCATGCCTGGCTAATTTTTTCTATTATATTATTTGGCCAATTAATTTCTTTCCATTTATAGTAGAGACAGGGTCTCGCTATTGCTCAGGCTGGTTTCGAACTCCTGACCTCGCGCAATCCACCCACCTCGGCCTCCCAGAGTGCTAGGATTACAGGCGTGTGAGCCACTGAGCCAGCCTGCTGTGGTTTCTTAGCCAATAGAGAGAGAGAGAGAGAGAGATTGGCTGTCTGTGTAGGGCTGTGCATGGATGATTTCAAGAGAGGGACGAATCATTTGATCCCCTTGAAAGAATCAGCTTTCCATACTGCATGCGTGCTCAAGGGACGCATGCCCAGTACTCCTTCATACCATCAAAATTGAACACGTATGTTCCAAGTTGGGAAGGCCTGAATTTAAATCTTAGCTTTGCCCCATACTGGCTATGACCTTTAGCAAATTTCTTAACCTCTCTAAGCTCAGTTTTCTCCTATCCAAAATGGAGCTCGTGGTAGTCCTGTGGTGGCTGCTTGTCCTGGGCCGGGCCACAGTGCCTTGGAGCTCCTTAATTCCAACGAGACGGGTAGACGAGTCCATGCACATCCCTAGCCTCAGTGCAGTGGACTCTGCATTGTGGCCTCGGGGCTTTCTGTGGAAGGCTGCCCAGCCCCCTGCAGGTGCAACGCAGAGATGGGGGAAGTTAACACCCCTCGAGACAACCCTCAACCAGTGGGGGACAGGAGTGTTCGGATAAATACCCCAGCTTCCCCTCCACAGGGTGGGACAGGTCTGAGGTGTGTGTGTTCTGCATTGGTTTCCAGATGTCTCCAGCGGGACTGAGCCTCAGTTGCCCACAGTGACTACCTGCCCATCATGGCACCATCTTTGGTATTTCTCTCTTCCTGTCTCGCTGGCCCCTCTCCCCCACTTCCGCCTCCCAGAATCATGTCCCAAACAAATCACCTTCACCCAAATCCTTGTCCCAGTCCCTGCCACACTAAGACAAATACCTCTTTCAGAGGTTCATGATGAGGTTTAAATGAGGGACTCTAGGTAGAGAATTGAGTTCTTCTGGGCACGTAGTAGATGCCCAATAAAGTTAGCTGTGGCTGTTACTGTTATTACTATCATTTCAGTCAGCCATTGGGTAAGGGCCAGCTACTCTCTACTCTGAAATTTTATAAAGGTAAATGTAAAACTGCTGTGCACACAAAAACGAAGCCTCAGGAAAACACCTGTTTCAATAAGTGGGCAACTCACCTCATACCCACCCTTCCACCCCCAGGCCTAAGAATTGAAGGCCCAAAGTAAACCTGGAGTCATTTTCCTTCCTCATCATATGATCTCCTTGAAACCACAGTGTGTTTTTAATGTCCAATGACGGCAACATCTTTAAGTGTGCAATTGGGTAGTTGTTTGCAGCCTGTGTTTTCTGTATTGTAACCCAGTGCTTTGAAATTATAAATCCTACCCTAACATAAACATTTCTTATGTCAAGAAAACTTCTGTTTTTCTTTGACCATTGAACTTTAAGTATATTTTAGGGTAAAACAAATTTTTCTTTATTCTTTGAAACCTGAAACTCATCTCGCTGTTCTATTTGCTATCTGAAAATTATGCATTTTGTTATCCATTCTGGAGCTGAATTATTTTTTTAGTCTTTCATTGGAATGTTTATTTAAAGGAGAAAACTATCTTTGGATCATTCACTATGTTACTTGTTCAGATCTTTTCATTTTGCTTTAACTCTCTGTAAAATAAACAGCCATGCTTCTATTGAATATTGATCTTAACGAAGTCTTAGTACCCATTGCTTAAGGATGGCCAAAAATCCACTCTTATATACACAGAAAAGTCATAAAAACAAAAGTGAGAGAATCACATCTAGTTAGCATTCAGCATTATGAAATATGATAGTGCAAAATGCATTCATATGCACATGAGTTGCTATTGTATAATATAGGACATTGATATAGCAACTTTTGAGTCCATTGTTTTGAAAAGTTTAGCCTCTACATTGCAGTGTGGAAAAGGAGTTAGTAGGCTATCTTTCCACACCATCAGTACCCAAAGGACGGAGCACCCTAGATGTAGATGTGTGTATTTTTTACCCTTCCAGCCCAGAATATATTAAATGCTCAATAAGCATGTGGTAGTAGTAGGAATAATCGTAGCAAAGGCTTCTTTACCAAAGTTTAGTTGTTCCTTTTGAAAAGCAGCTTCTTTAGTCATTAAAAATATGCTTATGGCTTAATTCAATTTACATAGAGCATATTCAAGGAAACAGATTTTGGTACAACCAGGCCATCTCAATTGTTTTTGCTTCAATTATACCATCAACATTAGAAATGTGAAGGTATGGGCTAGGGATTTTTTTTAACTCCATAAAAGATTTGAAACATTCTGGTAATGAATTCTAAAAATAATAGCAAACACATGCCAAGTATGTGCCAAGCACTGATCTTAGTAATTGATATATATTTATTCACTCATTTAAAGCTCAGAAAATCCTGGTGTTATCCCAATTTTGTAAGTGGGGAGACTGAGGCAAAATAGAAGTTAATTACTGATGTGAGAACTTATGCCTAGGAGATGTGGGAGCCAGGAGTGAGACCCAGGAAAGGGCTTCAGGACTGTGTGCTCAACCACTGGATAGGTGGGTTCATGATTGAGCACTAGTCCTCTGTGCTGGGGACCTCTCCTGGCTCAGCTTTTGTTCCATCCTAGCCCCTTCCTGTTTCTTGAGTCCCACAGTACAATACATTCCTCATCCCCGGTTAAGCCCCTCCTCCCAGGACTGTGTCCCAGGCTCAGATTAGCAGACCATTTGTCCTCCCAGATGATAGATCATCTGATGAACTAAGCACAGGTGACCAAATGTCAAAGTCATATTCCTCTGGGGTCAGATATTCTTACCTAATATTGATCTTCTATAAATAAAGTCTTATCCCAAAAATATAAAACTAGAATTAGGATTTTCAGGCAGGTGGAAGTTTTTGACAAAGTGGATATTTAAAGGAATCTCAAGTCCCTCCTAAGAGAAATTGTCAACTTCATCTACAAAAGACTGGCCTGTGAACCTGAAGACTTTGGAATTCCCTATTTTTATGTCTCAGTACCCCAAACGTGCCAAAGACCCCCCCCTACTGCAACTTCCTCCCACATTTTGATATTCTCCAAAGATGATAGAATAATCAAGAAATTTTTAGGAGAAAGCAATCATCAGTAATGTCAAATATGAAACAGCAATACCTAGATAAAACCAAATCTAGCTATGCATATGCATATCTTCAGACTGCATCTTCATCCTTGCCCGGCTTTTTCTCTTTACCTATGAAGGGAGTGAAATTATCAACACTACTAAGATTATGATGGTTCCGGTTTTTTTTTTTTCTTTTCAATAAGAAAATTTGAAACTTCAAAGCAGAAACTAAAAGCAGATGTTTAGGTTTGCATGGTATGGGTTGAAACCCTTTCCTTCTTATTTATTAAAGGTCCTTAGTTTTATGTTAGTGATTGCATAAAGGAAATTTACAGGCAATAGAGGTTTCCTGTTCATTTTTCTTGCTGGGTACTGGTAAAAGATTCAGGTAACCATAGACAGAATTACACATTGGGGCCTCCAGAGGAAAGTCTATATATGATTAGCACATTACAATCAAGACTTACCATGCAACCTCTGGCAAAGGAGCTGAAACAGGCCATCTAAAGGTCAGAAAAATGAGTAATGATGCATTACCTGTATTAGTACTAGTTGGTTCCATACCTATAACTACAGGCTATCAGAGTGATAAATAACTAGGATGTTTCATTGAAATGAGAAATGTTGCCTTTTTGTCATACTAGCCTTAGATTGATTTCAAAGTAAAAGCAATGGATTAATTAAGGGCATATATATTTTCAAAGCATTATTTCTCCTTTTGATTACTCAAAATATTGTAGAATTCTCCTTGTTTATTTTTCTACTACTTTGACACAGATTGAATCAGCCAAATGATGAAAGAACAAAGCAGGAGAAGAGGTTAAAACATTGCCAGGAACAATATTCTAATAAAATCCCAATCCAATTTCTTTTTATAGTATTTGTTTTAGGCATCAAAATTAATGTCTACTCCCTTATTTCATTTCCCTCTAAACTATATCCAAGTAATAAAATTGAGTGAATTGATTCAAGTATTATTAGACCTTTTCTTGCTTATTCTTGTACCAATACATACCTAGATAGCTTATAATAAGACTATATAGTTTTAAAAATCAGTATTTTTAATTCTTTAATTAATTACTTTTTTATATCCGTTGAATATTCCTAATTATTATGAATATATCCCTGGAAAGGGGTATCTTTGGATTGTAGATCTCAAGGAATTTGAACCAGTCTGGAAAAAAAAGTAGCTCTTAACCTTAAAGCAGAAATTAACCTAACATGGAAACAGGACTAGAAAAAGTCATTCATATGCTGAACCCTCAAACTGTAGCTCTATCTTTAGCCAGCTGAGTGACTTTGGGAAAGTCACTTAATAGCACCCAGTTGCCCTATCTACAAGATAAGAGTATTGGGCTAAATAATCTTTTTTTCTTCCTCTTGAGTTCTTTAACACTGTCATTTTCCCCGCAAGGGTCATTGATCCACTGGGGTATAGGAAGACTCAATCTAGGGGTATATTTTTAAAAGCAATTTAATTTAAATTAAATTTAAATTAAATATATAAGCTTCTCTAAAAATAGTCAATAAATAAAATCATTTAGCTTTAGATAGTGATTGAGGCAAAGAAATTCAAAGGAGAGAGAAAAGGGGGAAGGAAAATAAGATTTGAGTACAATGAACCATAAGTCATCATTTTTGTAGGTCACAAAGGGCCCATTATTAGCAATTTATATGGTTCAACCTAATGCCATAGCTGTAATCTTTGAACATTAAATTTCAACAAATCTATAGGGCTACCTGGACAATACCAATTTACGGGAATAGCAGTATGAAAGCAGAAATATTAGAGGACCCTGGCAACTCCATCACTTTGGGATCTGTAGCGCAACTGGGTAGTAGTAAGTATTTCACTGAAGTAATCTCTGAAGCAAAAACAAAAGCATATCCTCTAACAAAAGGTAGGTGGGATAACTACCATAGTATCAGAACTGCTTAAAACAGATGCAAATATAGTTCTTCCTAAAATATCATTCTGGAAGCGTTCACTTACTGTACTTTAGCACTTTAAAAATGCTCCATTTTTGTGAGTGATCTAATTATCAGCCAATCTGGAACTTTTTGCCTCTTATTGTCCATTTTAGCTATCCCTGAAAATTCTGTGAAGGAAGTCTTCGGACCACCTGGTACCATCAAAGACAGACTCAAGAAGTTGCTTGTTCACAAAAATGGCATGAAAAAGAAGGTAAAAGTTAAAAATGTCCCCCCAGAACACGCTGGGACTCCCACCCCTAAGGTTAACTTGCAGCCCATCAGCTATGAAGAGAGTGTTTCCAAAGACGGGAGCTCTCCTGGAGGAAGAAAAAGGAATGGGGAGAGAAGGAAAGTGGAGTTTGAGGAGGAGAAGAGTAGAGAGAAAGCCCTGAAGAACAACGCAGAGCAGGAGCGAAGGCTTCGAGGAGATGTGTTTTGTGAGTGTCACTTTTGTTATTTTATACATTTTATGAAAAATAAGTTGGGATGTCTCCTGACAAATGAAAAGATGAAAAGCCAGTGACACGCCTTAAGTAAAATGGGTTGGGCCTTGAGTCCTAAGAAGCGGCCGTCTCCGTAAGCTCTAAAAGCTAACTCCTTCTGTAAATGCCCAATCAAACCTGCCGCTCTGGGGACCGAGGAGGGGAAGTCCTGGAGGGGTTCCTATTCGACACACACCCTCTCTTCCCACTCCCAGCTGAGGAAGCCCATTTGTCCTGCAAGCACAGTTGTCCAGCAGCTGAGCTCTTCACGTGGCACACCCCCACATCACAGGGACTGTCACCACATGAATCTGCCAAGCTCTACCTTTTTCACTTCTCAAAGGCACTTTTCACAGCCCTACTCCAGGAAAAGGGACCCCCACAGTTCTGTGGTTATGATTTGAAAAGCCAAAAGAGGCCAGGCTCCGTTGGCTCACGCCTGTAATCCTAGCACTCTGGGAGGCCGAGGCGGGAGGATCGCTCAAAGTCAGGAGTTCGAAACCAGCCTGAGCAAGAGCAAGACCCTGTCTCTACTAAAAATAGAAAGAAATTTGCTGGACATCTAAAAATATATAGAAAATATTAGGTGGTCGTGGTAGTGCACACCTGTAGTTCCAGCTACTTAGGAGGCTGAGGCAGAAGGATTGCTTGAGCCCAGGAGTTGGAGGTTGCCATGAGCTACGCTGACGCCACAGCACTCGAGCCTGGGCAGCAGAGCGAGACTCTGTCTCAAAAAAAATAAAAAAATAAAAAATAAGAAAAAAGAAAAGCCAAAAGAGACAATTGTAGGGGGGAAATTCTATAGTAGGGCTTAAGTTTTCTGTGTGAACTAGAGAACTGCCATATCCCCCTTTTCACTGGCTACTGGAACCCACCACAAGGCTCAGCGCCTCTGGGATGGTTTCTGTATTAACCTTCCCTAAAACCCCACACTGCGACCTTCCAATTGATTTTTGCTGGGCATTTCTTGCTGCCTCTATATTTTCCTCATACAAGTGCCAGTTGGGTTCAACCAAAGGAAATATAGATACAAGCTCACCCATCAAAGACCTAGCTTACAAATGACATCATCTCCCTCAATAGAGAGTAAATCTCAAGAAAGCATATTTCCCAAACGTGGTGAGAATGGACGTGTCAGTAATGTGAAGGCTTAGTTTACCAAAGGGAACATCTGGAAAAGATATTCTAGATGAGGAAACTCGAACCACTGTCAATGACTTGGAAACACTACTCCAAGATATTCTGTAATTAGAATATATGCTAAAACCTTGTTGGTTCAGTCATTTGATTCGTTCCTTTTGAGCATGTGGGGTTTTAGATTTTTTCTTAACTGATCAAGTGTTCTTTATTAGCCCCTAAGGTGAATGAAGCGGGTGAATTTGGTCTGGGTCTATTCCAAGGAAAAGCGTTGATTTCTAAACAGAAACGCAAAGGTAAATAATGCTTTTCTGCCAGGTATGTGCTCTCTCATGGTGTCCCATGTCATTTTCATTTCTTCATAGGATAAGACGATTGTTTATGAACAGGGGTCCTCAAACTTTTTAAACAGGGGGCCAGTTCACTGTCCCTCAGACCATTGGAGGGCCAGACTATAGTTTAAAAAAAACTATGAACAAATTCCTATGCACACTGCACATATCTTATTTTGAAGTAAAAAAAACAAACGGACAAAAACACCTGCATGTGGCCCGCCGGCCGTAGTTTGAGGACGCCTGGTTTATGAATCGCTGCTTCATTGATAAACTCCCGAGGGAAAAATTGTCACATCATGATACACGGTGCTCATATTTAAATAGTAGGTCTTGTGTGATTGTACGAATGATTACAATATAGTAAGGCTTCTGCTCTCTGCCACTCCCAGCTGACACTGAGAGTGAAGGGTCAAGGCAGACTGGATGCGTGGAGAAGGGAGAAAATGACTCCCATTTGCTTCAACTCTAATGTCTGAGAACGCACAGCCTGAAAATCACCATGTCCTAAAATCTGGCTCAAAGTGCTTGTAACAAACAAGCACAAATCCTCAGTGGCCTAATGCTTCTGAGTCTATGCATTGGCTGGGCAGTTCTGCCTGTCTGAGCTTGGCTGGCTGGGTTCACCCACGTGTCTGCAGTCAGCTAAGGGTTTGCTTTGTAACTTTGCTGATCTTAGCTGTGCTCTCACATGCCTGGGGTCTCAGTTGGGATAATTGGACTCATTCAGGTCTGCTTCGTGTGGTCTCTCTTCCTCTAACAGGCTAAGGTTTGGCTCTCTTTCCAAGAAAGAGCAGGGGCATACCAGACCTTTTTGAGGTCCAGGCCCAGAACTGGCATAGTATCATTTCTGCCATATTCTACTGGCCAAGGCAAGTCACAGGGCCAGATTAAAGGAAAGAGAAGGAGTTGCAAAGTTATATGCAAAGAGTGTGGATACAGGGAGGGATAAAAATTGAGACCATTTTTGTGATCAATCCACCAAAGCCGAATAATCTGGAATTTCTTGGAGATGATCCCTAATTCCTCAAGAGTTTATTTAGAACATTCACGACCCATGACAGATTGTATGTGTGGGCTCTCTACTCAGACCTCAGGATCCAACTCCACTATGAGGACAGTGCCTCTCTGGTTCAGTGTTCCTAATGTGATCTGGGAAGCTTCTAGTAAAAACTATTTAAATCTAGTAACCCATGACCCAGCTCCTATAGGCACTTTGGTTTCCTCCATATTTCTCTTAAGTGTTCTACTTTTTAAATTTATTTTCATTAAACATCTTATTGCCCATTTTCCTGGTTAGGAGGGAAATGTTTCATAGTTCAAGGGATAAGCTACATTCTCCAGGTACTCAAAAGTTCTGCCCCAGATCTGCTTCCCACTTGCTAAGTGATATAAAGGAATTAGTTGACTCCTTTTTGGATCCCCAAACCACTAGATTTCTTATTTTACTTTTTCTTCCATAATCCTTAATGAAACACAGAAAGTTTAAAATTTCATACATGGGCATATGACCCTGTGGTGTCATTAGTGCTTGAGTAAGTAAGGTGCCCTGGAGAGCTCAGTCCCGATCAGAAGACTCAGGTATACACTCCAGCTCTTCCACGAGCTGTTTGCCTTGGGCACATCACTTAGACTTGTGGTTCCTCTCTGCTTTCACACATAAAGTTGGAATAAGAGCAATCCTCCCCTCTTAGGTGCTGTCTTAGGCTGCATTCCCCAGAAACAGACCCCAAGAAGAATTTGTATGCAAGTGGTTTTTACAGGAGGTAATCCCAGGAAATGGTGATTGGGGAGTGAGGAAGTGAGATGGGGAGAGAAGGAGGCAGTAAAGGGTGTGTTATCAGGCAAGTTTCCACTGTGGGCAGCTAGAGTTCAGTGCCACTGGGGGACCTCCAGGAAACAGTGAAGAACACATGGATCAGAATTATCCTACTGGAGGAGTAAGGAAGCTGCAGTATATGTACATCAACTCCCATCTGACATTAACTAAAGGCTGCTCCCAGGCAGGTGCTAATTCCCTGGTGCTCCTGGCCTGCCATGAAAGCAGGGAAGGGCATCACTGTGGCTACTGGACCTCTATTCCACTTGGACCCTCTGCAAGACAGGAGGGAACCTAAATTCCAGTCTGACTTCAGTGCATGTCCAATTACAGCACTTAGTGGTCCTCCCTAAAGGCAAGGTGGTGGAGGTATCTATCCACCAACTCCTACCTGTCACTGGTTGAGTGCTTTCCCTGGGAAAATAACCCCCCAGCACTCTAGCCTACCTGGCTTGGACCCAGCATGCTCCAGCCAGAAAACACCTTCATGCAGAGAGTTGTGGGTGTGTGCAGTAGAAAGCCATAAGCCATATGCAGGGGGACGTAAGTACTGGTAGATATTGGTGCGGCACCAGCAGCATCTGCCTCAAGGCTGGCATGGATTAAATCAGAGAATATATTTGAAAGCACTCGGCCAGGCATGGTGGCTCACGCCTGTAATCCTAGTACTCTGGGAGGCCGAGGCAGGAGAATTGCTTGAGCTCAGGAGTTCGAGACCAGCCTGAGCAAGAGTGAGACCTCATCTCTATTAAAAATAGAAAAATTAGCTGGGCATGGTGGTGCATGCACCTGTAGTCCTAGCTACTCAGGAGGCTGAGACAGGAGGATCACTTGAGCCCAGGAGTTTGAAGTTGCTGTGAGCTACAATGACACCACTGCACTCTACCCAGGGCAACAGAGTGAGACTCTGTCTCAAAAAAGGAGAAATTGAACCCCCCTCCTCACTCCCTGCCTTTATAAAAAAAAATTTAAAAAATAAATGAAAGCACTTTGTAAACCATGAAGTGTTATGCAAATGAAATAGTGTGCTCATGAGACCCAAGCCTTGAGTTTTTTCTGTTAATGGAGTCGTTTGCTGTATATTCTCCCATTGTCCCAGTTTACATGGCCCACCTCCCATGTGTTGAGGAAAATGGGGGAGTTTGGGCCAAATGTGCCACCACGGTTATAAACCAATTGAAAAATTAATGTTACACTATTTGTGGATTACTAACATCAACTTCTCAAACTAGTAATTGCACTCATGAAAGAATATTGAAGTCTGGAAGCAAATATGACTTGGTATTGTTTCATTTTAAATCTCAGACTAGAAATAAAATATCTTTGCTGCCATAGAGGAAAATAGGGGGTTCAGAAGAAAGGAAAGTGAGGAAAGGGGCAGTGTGTTCCTGCCGGCTTAGGATACGTGCAGGACGGACAGCCTGGGGCTGCAGTGTGATTTGGGATTCGGGTCCAACCCTAGCACTCACTGTCTGCAGAACTTGGACAAATCACTTACGAGCCTCAGTTTTACTTTCCTGAAAATGAGTCTGATGCTAGACTTTTTTGGACAATCAAATCAAATGATGGAAAGTATGTGAAAATATTTGGCAAATTGAAACGAGTCTGAATCAGCTTCTGCCACTTCCCTTTTTAGCTTTGTCCCTTTCCTTGGCCATTCCTTTATTCCTCAGTGTAAGAGCTGAAGCAACATCAGAGCAGAGGCTAGCCTTAGTTATAAATCAGAAATATCCCAATTCCCCGTCTTTCACAGTGGCATTTTTTGTTAGCTGCATTAGGGGTCAGCAAACCTTTTTTCTGTAAGGGGCCAGTAAATATAGTAAATATTTAGTAAATATTTCAGGCTTTTTGGGCTATATAGTCACTTTCGCAACTACTCAGCCCTGTCATTGTAGCTCAAACACGGCCATAGATGACATGTGAATAATTGGGCCTGGTGTTTTTCAATAAAACTTTACAAAAACAGGCAGTGGGCCAGGGTGTTAGTTTGCTGTAAAAGTAACCAGAGGCACTGGTTCAAAACTTACACCAGCTGAATCAACTCTTACATTTCTCTGACACATGGAAACAAGGCAGTCACGAGCCATTTAGAAACTGGCAGCGGGTCAGCTTATTTGATTCAACATACTGGTGGCAAATTTCTACCTGGAATGTTGGAATCATGAGACAAAGGAAGTTTTGTCATTTGTCTCATTTGTACCTGCAGGATTCTAATTTATGGAGGTGACTGAGTGACAGCATGGAGAGGCGAATGCCATTGAAAGGATAATTTATTGCTGGCATTTCCCAAGAAAAAAGGCATGCCATGCCACGAAGGGCCTTGGGGGAAGAAGTGGCAGGTTTGGGTCAGGAGGCAGAAGGAGGGGTGAGCCTAGGACATAGCCTTTATCGGGGTTCTTGGAGGAAAGCAAGGCAGAGCAGGGCTAACAGCTTAGGATTGGATGTTTTGAATAATTCTGGCATGCTTTGGAGCATAGGAGCTGTCCCTAACTCTCTGGTACTTGGCTCTGAGTTGATTTAGGGCAGGGGACTTATTGGCTTCGTGTGTGAGAATGAGACGAAGGCAGTGGCTGGCTGGCATGCTGGAGGCATGCTTCCTGGTGAGTTGTTTGCTGCTCTAGGAATTAGCTAACCCTGGGATGGGTTGGTCCCTCCCCAGGTCTGGAAGGTTCCCTAAGATGTCAAAACATCATAAAATACAGCAAATATGGTTAATACCCTTACATACTAACTTACTGTTGGTCAGTCATGGACTACATGAAATTTCATATTCCACAAAGCATCTAGAAAGTTCTGGCAAGGTCTTCACTAGTTCATTTGGGTAGGAGAGATTTTATTTTCTGGCCTGAATTTTATAAACAATTGCTTATATTCCCTGTCTCACTTTGTACATGGAGATCTTGCTCATTACTTATTTTTAAAAAAGTGTTTTTGTTTTTTAACAAAATTTGTTCAGAATAGCTTCACAGATTTAACTAGACACAGGGTATCTGGTTTGACACTATCCCTAAGGGCATTTTAGTTGCCATAACTTGTACTCTATACAATTGAAAACATGGTATTGCCTTCCAAAGCTCCAAATATAGACTTCTTTCTAATGTTCTTAGTGGTTAAGAAATGTACTGTTTTCTCTTCTTCTTCTTTTTTTTTCTTTTTCTTTTTCTTTTTTTTTTTTTTTTACCAGATTTAAATGTCTCAGTTGACTGTAGCTTTGATCATGGGAACTGTGACTGGAAACAGGATAGAGAAGATGATTTTGACTGGAATCCTGCTGATCGAGATAATGGTATTAATATTTCGATTTGACTATTTCATGTTCTACAACACGGTGGAGGTACAGAAGGCTCTCCAGTGATGGAGGGTTGTTATTCCTGTCATTGGTTAGATCGGGGTTGTTGGTCACCTTATACCTTCCAGGGTCTCCCCTGATGAATGATAACTTGGCCCAGCATATATTCTCCTCCTGAATCCCTCTCCTTCAGACACACCCTGACAAAGGATGTGTCAGCAAACCCCTTCCATACTCACGCTCTGCTGCTCGGAGAGAGATGCCGAGATGTGTATGAAGTTTGGGAGTGTTGGGAAAAGGTAAAAAGAAGTTATTCCCTTTACCTAGCTTACCAGCCATGGCACTCTGTAGTTTGTATTTTGTTTTGAGGAGGATATAAATCTTAAAAGGAAATATGGCCTCCACCTAAGCCTAGAGTTTTAGTAGTGTCACCCCTCAACGTGTTATCAAAACTATAAGGGGGTTTTGGCCTAGGTCCAGCTGCTTGCCACACAAAAATCTAATTATTCAGATAATTAGGATTGCCAAGGAAGGAAGGAATTTTTTAACATGAAGGATGTTCTGTCAGGAGAACAGAGAATCAGCCTCAAATCCCTCTCCCCAACTAACAGAGAGTATGGGCTTTTTAAGAAGGAACTGCGTGCATTAGGGCAGGTTGTGGGGAATGGTGAGTCTTGGCATCAGGAAATCTGCCTAGGGGCCTTCAGAGTCTCACTCCTTATCTTGCAGAAGTTCCACCATTTCTGGGAAACAACTCAGAAAAGTCAAGTAGTTAGTTAAAAGTTTTAGGGTTCTGGTCATCATGCCCTATTGGCCTGTGCATCTAAACCATGGGAAGGAGAGGATTATAAAAAGCATACAGGGGTCATTGAAATTTATTCATAGAGCTGGTTACAAAAGCATCAAAACCATAATGAGCATCAAGGCAATGACCTGAACTCCTGGACTGACCTTTGAAGGTCTGACCATGGTCCTGGACTGACCATTGCTTGAATATTTCTTTCCAGCCTCCTGACTTGGATTTTTCTCACCCACAGCTCTGAGCTGCAGATTCCCTGCCCTTTCCATTGCCTGCTTAAACACTATGGAAGGACCCTAGCTTTCCCCTGAGGTAGAGCCTTTGGCTTGCAGATTCCTTTTGGAACACAAATTGAATCCCTATCTCCTGAAGGCTGACTATATAATTAAAGACAACCGTTACACCTTCAGGGACTCCAGTTCCTTACCAACCAAATTATTTCTTTGGGGATGTACAGGCTTTACTCTCAGTTAAAAAATCCTTCCTCTAGAACCTTCCTCTAGACAAATTTCTCTGCAATATCTTTCCTTTCAAGCCTTCACATGCAAACAGGAAACCTGGATATCCCCTAACAAGAATTCCTTTTAGAACAGGGTAGAGGCCTTTCCAAAATAAAAAATAGTAATAATAATAATAAAAGAACAGGGTAGAGGGGATACATCTCACACAGCAGTTGTGTGAGTGGGACTATAGCTAAAGATTCAGGGCAAGTAAAGGGCAAGTTTAACCAGACCGGAGACAATGCATCTTTGGAGAAGCTATCTTGTTTATAACCAACCTGAGTTTCTCCTTTATTCCATCATGGCGTCTCTAAATTTGTGTCTACAAGACTATATCACATTGGGAGCCCCTGGATTATTCCAGGATCTTGACAGCTCACACAGTCACTCAGTAATGTCTTACATGGAGATTTTCATCAATGGGAAGTCCCCTGTTTATGAACACCCAATTCACAAATGACCCTGGAGTTTTCAGCTTCTGCATCATTCAAATTGTACCGCTCTCCTCCTGTACCTCCACCAGATCTCTAAGTGGGCTTGTCTCTCCCTACAGAGTTAAATATAAAAAAGAAACATAGGATGAGTTAGCATTATTAGAGGGATAAAACCTCTAAGATAGCTCAAAGCGGGCTTTATCTGGGAAAGAAGGAGAAACCTGTCAAAGTGAATCACAGAAGAGTGTAGCTGATAGAGTTACCAGATAAAGTATAGGATGCCTAAATTTCAGATAAGCAATAAATACTTTTTAGTATTTTTAGACATGTTGTTTATCCGAAATCCAAACTCCGCTGGGAATCCTGTATTTTTATTTGCTGAATCTGGCCACCCTACTAGCTGGGGAGGAAGACCAGACAGTCTCTGGATCCAGTAAAAACAAAGGTAATGTTAGCTGGATTCTGCAAGTGTCTCCAGGAATTGCACTAGTAGAAGACTCCACCCATTCCCAGGTGTCTTTCCCCTGGCTTCTATGGGAATTCCTCCCTCTTATTGACTTCTTCAGACCCTAGTCTGTGAGAGTTTTTACCCAAGTTCATCAAAGCCACAAACAGAAGATTGGACATGAGCAAAAGTACACTACCACAGGTTAAAAGATACTTAGAAGATTTGCAGGAGTAGGAGATGTGTTCCTGTCATCCTAAATCAGAACTCGGAGTGATATTTACACATGGTTGTTGAGCTTCGTGAAACCACTGGTACAAAGGCAGATATGTTGTGGATTAAACACCACCCTATGGATCCACCTAAGGAGCTGGCCATCCATCATACCTGTCATTGATTCAGTGGGGAAATGCATTCCAAGGTTCAAACCAAAGTGGAAATGAAGTTCTGGAACAAAAGTTATCCATCGGCTGCAGGTTACCTGCAGTGCTGAAGGATTATTTAATTCAATTCTTACCTCCTATCTGCTACTGCTCAGCTTTGTGAATGTGGACAAATTCCTCAGTTTCTCTGACCATCAGTTTAATTCTCTATATAACATAGGATTTCACCTGTGTGATCCCTAAAATACATTTTAGCATGAAAATTTTGTTCCTATGTTTGAAATGACAAAGACTTCAGCTTTCCCTGTAGGAAACTATTGTTTGCTTTTTTATAGCTATTTTATACTATCATATTTTATACTAATATAAACAAACCCTTTACAAGGGCCTCATTAACTGTGCTTTTTTTTTTCTTATCTTAAAGCTGTTGGCTATTATATGGCAGTTCCGGCCTTGGAAGGTCGCAAGAGAGACATTGGCCGATTGAAACTTCTCCTCCCCGACCTGGAGCCCGAAAGCAACCTCTGTTTGCTCTTTGATTACCGGCTGACCGGAGACAAAGTAGGGAAACTTCGAGTGTTTCTGAAAAACAGTAATGATGCCCTGGCATGGGAGAAGACCAGAAGTGATGATGAAGGGTGGAAGAAGGGGAAAATTCAGTTGTATCAAGGAACTGATTCTACCAAAATTGTAAGTGGAGAACAATTATTAAACTCGATATTTACATTCTTTTTCAATGACTTAAAACACTTACTGAATTACCCAGGCATCAGGAATACAAAGATGAACAAAACTTTTTTCCCTGCACTTAAAGAGCCTACATGCTGGAGCAAAATAGGCCAGGAGATTCAGCAGCACAACCAATGACGAAATTTGTCAGGTGCATGCCCATCACGTCCTGTGGAAATGACCTGTTTGTATGTCAGGCTCCTTGCCCCAACTTCCTCCTAAACCAGGATATACATTCCTTAATACGTAAAAGAAGGACTTACAGAACTAAGAAAACTTGTTATATTCAAAATTATGGTTTATATAGATTAAACTCAGCAAAGGGAAAAGGCACATGGGGCAGAATCCAGCAGAGACCAGGTATAAGCTTGTAGTTTTCCTCTTCCAGTAGAGTCATAGGGGTAGCTCTTAATTCTCCCAGCAACTGAGTATGACAACACTCACAAAATATTGCTCCCCACCCCAGGAAGCTCATTTATGCCTTGGTGTCCAAGGTTTTTGTTGGAGGTCAGTCTGCCCACATGACCACCTGTGTGGCTGACTATAGTTATCCTGTCTCCAGCCTCTTCAGAGTTCAGATTGATACTATGTGACCCAAATCCTTATCATAAATCATATTGTTAGCATAAGCTATCTGGCATGGCCCAAGGCCTCAGCTAAATAAAAACACTTGTAGTCAGGTAGGATATTCCAAGGGTTTAGAGGTTATCTCCTAGGAGCCAATTAAGAACCAAACCTTCCTTTGGAATATGCAGGGTTTGGTCAACCCAGACCTGCTGAGTTAATCCTTTATTGCATAGTGGGTTTAATAAAGGAAAAGGAAACAGAGTTTTAACAGAAAGTTGGTCAATGGGATGAAACACGGAAAAAGAACAAATACGATAAGAATGACAAAGAGTCTACTGAATTTGACCATCAGAAAAGTGGCTGGTGGCCTTTGCAGGAGTTATTTCTTTGGACAGAAAGGGCCAAAGGTCACACTATGAAAAGATGAAGAGAAAAGGGATCAGAGCCTGGAGGTAGCCACTGTGGACCCTCGTGAAAAGTTTGGTCAATGTGGGAAGGCAAAAGATAGGGTGAAATCTAGAGTGATGTACGTGAAGAGGTGATAATAGGAAGAACAATTAGTAGATCCATGCATTGGAATTCTATTTATACTTTGCTTGTGAAAAGTGATAATTAATGTGAATGAAATCCTATTTCTCGGTAATAGGCATCAAACTAGAAAGCCTAGTCCCTAGTGTCACGCATTAAATTTAACATCTTTTCATTTATTTGTCACACTTTAGTTAAAGCAGAACATCTTATTTAAGACATGACTGTAAATAAAAGTAAATGTTTGGTGCCAGTTAATGAATTTCCTAACCACACTTCCTCTTGTGGTAAAAGCAGCCAGTGCTTGTTTAGGACTGATACATGTGTTAAATCAGTTTATTCTCATTGCAGTACATTTAAATAGATTCAAATCCAATCCACATGTTTATCTTGTATTTGTGGCATGGTTTGGGGACTGTGGCACTGAGCCATGCTATATATGGATGACATGCCCTGTAGAGAATTGAAATATGCCTCTGCAGAGAACTCATAATTATTTCCATGTTGACTGAATTAATGTGCTGGGGAATATTTTTTATATAACATGGTAGCTTATGGAGAGGGTATACCACCAAAACAGTGATTAATTAAAATGCACAGTTTTGAAAACATGCCCCAAAGAGCCTGGCCGGCAATCACACTATAACACAACAGTGCTATATGAAGAGGGATGCTCAGACCAGGCCCTGAATTCTTCAATCGCAGGGGAATCCCTGATATGGGCATTGGAAAGGGTAGAAGATTACTACTCCAGACTACAGCATATATTCCACTTAAGCAATGTCATATTGTCCCTGGATATTTGTGACAGATGTAACTCTTGCTCCACAAACTTGGAAATAGACAGTAAGTCCCATTGCTTTCAAATTATATCTGAATCCAAAGCCCCATCTCATCCAAAGCTTCATTAGGCTGGGGGTGGGGGAAAATTCACTCTCAGCTATTTGCTCATGCTGAGTTGGGGGGGAGGGAGCCCCTCTCTAGGGTAGCCTGAGCTTCTGGAAGGCTAAAAGTGACCCAGATATTAAGAGAGAGGAGCACATCTTCACTTCTTCATGGGGGCCATGGATTTCCACATTTTCTATACCTAAGTGGCCCTTGAAGTCACTCATCTCTTCAACTTCCATGCCAGGCCAGGACATAGAAACCTTTACTGAGGCTGGAGTCTTGTTGCTGAGAATCCAGTCTTGATCGGAGCTCTGCCAGTGAGCAGCAGTGGTATGGCTTCGTAGGCCTGGAGAATCTCACTTCTCCTCCCACTGCTTCTCCTTCTATGAAACATTTTTCAACACATGAAAACAATGACATCCCAGATGATCTCCAAATACATAAACTGATATTTTAAGAAAAGTGGTTATACTACTACAAAATGCCAAAGTTTAAATATATCAAAATAATTCCCTTTTATCTATATAGTTCTGTATTATATGTTCATGGGGAATATTAAATTTCTTCTAACCTGGTTTTTATAAATAAAGCCATATAATTTTTTTTGGTTTTGCTTTTCTTTTCTTTGAGTAGGAATTCCAAAATTTACTTTTAAACCTTACTCAGACTTATGGGGCTTTTCAGAAGCCTTTAGGTGTTGCTGTGACCCTGTTTTCTCTGAACCTAACTATGTCAGTGTGGGCCCTTGGCATCTGGAAAGCAATATTTTACTATATATTCAATGTCAAAGCTGGATTCTATGCAATAGGGACACATGAATTTAGTCCTTGTTAATAGCTACTAAATAGTTTGATTATATCATTGTTTTGAATACTTTGAAGTAATTTTTTATTTCCTCTCCATTATTAGATCATTTTTGAAGCGGAACGTGGCAAGGGTAAAACCGGCGAAATCGCAGTGGACGGCGTCTTGCTTGTTTCAGGCTCTTGTCCAGATGGCCTTATACCTATGATCAATTGAATGTTATCATCTTTATATTTGGCTCTTTATGTCAGTTCCCTGTTTTTTGATGTTGCATCATAGGACTCTCTATTTTAGAAATATTAATACAAGCTGAAAAATTATAATGTACCAACAGAAATATTATTGTAAGATGCCTTTCTTTTATAACATGTGCCAATATTTGCTTTAAATATAGTACCACTGTGTCTTCTCATTCATATCTTATTTTTTCCATATTATATTATAAAATGTAGAAATGCCACTTCATCTTCCCTCCCCAGTATATCTGCTTTGTCTACATGAATTGATGAACTGCTCTATATAACATTTCTGGAATAACAACAAAAAAATATGCACAGAGAAATGTTTAACTGTTTGACTTTTATGACACTGCTTGGAAACTAATGACATCAAAGATAGACTTTTGCTTAAGTGGCTTAGCTTGATCTGTCATCACCAAGCTTGTATATTTAAAGTCTTTGCAATAATAATATCGAAATAATTGCCTTTGTGTCATGGTTTAATTTTTCTAAGTAGGAAAATATGTTGTTGATTCTGTGTTTACTTCTGTATATGATTATTTGCTTTCCTGAAAAATGTAGTTTTCATTCTTTTCTCTGTGGAAATACTTTATATTCTTAGAAATTCTTAAAAGTACTTTCTAGAATGGGAAAATATGACTGCTTTATTGGACCTCATAATGGCAATGCAGGTTAGCATATTGTTGAACTCAAGGCCCCAGAGAACTACCTAAAATCAAGTTAGCAGGTTGAAGGACTCAGACAAAGACTCATGTCTTCTTTTCTATTTCCCTTTCTTTCCAAATTCGAAAAGAGCTTTGTGTGTGAATCCTAAGTATATTCCTTGAAGGTGAAATTATATTCTGTGTAAGATTCTGAGTCAGAAACAGATCCAAGATAGCTCCCAAACAGAAGTTCCCCCCGATACTTGCTCCTTAAAGCAATTAGGCGTTGAGCCATGGGAGGAAGGAAAGAGAGAAGGTGGTCCACTTGCTAATATTTAAAATGTATAGTCTCACTCTTAAAGGTCTTTTTTTTAATACTGAAACCCTTAGTAATCTTTCCATAACAACGTTCTCTTTAATAAAACCAACATCCACAATATCTTAAGATGGTGGGGTTCCATATTGTTTTCCTACAGTGTGAGGGAATTTTGGCATACAAAGCTTATACAGGACTGTAGAGGTATCTGTTAGGGAAACTACTAGTTATAGAAACCTCAAAAATAGTGTTCCTGGTGAGACCAGATGAGGGACTGCCCAGCTAAGGCAAATCAGCCCACAGAATCATAAGAGAAAATAAAATGGTTGTTTTACGCCACTATATGCTGGGATGGTTTGTTACACAGCAAAAGTTAACTGATACAGGTGATTTCTAATACTGTGGTAGAACTTAAAGAAGACCCCCTATGTCTTCTGTGACTAAGGACATTCTAGAGCACAGCTGTGGCTTAGAATAAGGGAAGATAGAGGGGAGACCTTACAGTGAAGGACAGTGCTCCAGTAATCCAGGTTAAAGAAAGGAATGTTGAACCAGAAATGATATAAGGAGGCCTAAGAATCATGCTACATATAGACAGGAAATGAATGCACAAAGCTGAGTTAAGATGAATAATAATATTTCATGTTTCTGTAATATCTGTAGCAGAAACTGCTAGTTGCCTACCCAATATCTCTTCTCACCTTTTTCCTTCAGGGTATAAGCACATATAAATATATTTTTTAGAGGGTGGACAATGTGCTCAGCCAGAGCATTGCATTTCCCAGCCTCTCTTCCAGATGCAGGGCACCCTGAGACGTGAGCTGAAGTCATTGGTGGGGCTTCCAGGAAGGATCCTTAAAGGAAGCTTGCAGCTGGCAGTCCCCCTCTGCCGTTTCTCTTCCTCCTTCTTCCTGCTTGCAATGCAGTTGTAAAGGCAGGAGCTCTGTGAGTCACCTGGTAATCAGGAGGGTAAGGGCCCCATTCTATGGAGAAATAGACAGTGGGAGGAAGCCTGGCCTCTGGTGATGTCATGGAGTCCCTACCCTGTCCCAGACTGGTCGCTGCTGGACATTTTATTAAGTCAGAGAATTATAAGCCCTTCCTTGCTCTATCTAGGATTGCAAACAGAGCACAGTCCAGACCCAGGTAGGTGATCACCCTCCTTGATCCCTAGCAGCTGCCCCTGCCATTTCCACCACAAGACCATAGTCTTGGGGACTAACTTCTTGGACCATTCAATACCAACATATTGTTGTGAATTCCAGTCAACAGCCTATAGTGTCATGAGGCTCTAGCCTGCACCGGCACTGAATCATACTTAGATTCCTTTGCAGAACCCAAGGGCAGCTAATTCAGCCATGACTCCCATATCTGTTGTCCCCAGCCACCACTCAACATGTTGAACCCCTCTTATGTCACCCACCATCTCCCTCTGTCATCCCCACACTGTTCAGGCTCCCTCCTCTTGACGCCAACCCCTACTATTCCAGTCCCCCATCATATTAATGCATATTTCATTGTCTGATAACCCCCTTCCATCTTCATTCATGCCAAAGGTCTCTTCCTCCATCTCTCAAGCTTAGCTGAAACTGGACCCTCTCCCCCTGCAGCCTTAGCAAATGAGAGCCACTCTTCTTCCCACACTCTGCACATGGCAGGATCTGGAGTTGAGGGGGGCATTCTCCTGGCTGCAATTCACTCTTATTCACAGTCTTGTTTCTCTACTCCAATGTAAAAGTCGCTGTTCCATGGAGATGCAGTTAAATATTCTACAGCCCTGCGTCTTTCCTAGCCATCGTCATCAACCAGAGTAGTGATATCTATGCAAATGCCCGCCCAGGGTCCTAGCCTCACAATTCTTCACCTCCTCTACCCCAGTCACTGTCACCTCATCCTCAGTCACCACACCATGGCCACCCTGGACTTGATCATTGCCTCTGAAATCTTGAACTCCAACATCCTACTGAGCTGCCTGTCTTTCTCCTCTTCTTACTCCCCCTACACTTACTCTTTGGCCCCTTTGAAACCCCCATTCCCTTGACGTCTCCATTTTCTCTCCATCTCTTTCTCCCCTGACTTTCTTCTCTAATAAAATATAATCTAGACTCTAAAACCCATCATCTCTTTACAGACACTCTTGTCAATGTCCCTCAAGGCCCAGGCTTTTGTGTCCTTCCACCACCACCACCAGGCAGAGGCCCCCATCAACCCAGCTGCCTTCTTTGCTCTATTGTGTCTCCAGGCTGCTAAACAGAGTTAGAGAAAATTACACAACTATGCAGACCTGTCCTTCAAGCAAACCATGATCTTCTACAAACCTTAGTGCTGCCCAAGTTATTAATACTTCCCACTGAGGAGTGTTTGCTTGTTTGCTTGAATACACTAGACGACATTCACCAGGATGTCCCCACGTTCTCCAGCCTTATGGGTTTATACTCACATATTGAAATAATAATGGCATAAGCCGCCATTTTTGCCTCCTCTCTAAGGCTAAATGTTAGTGGCTGACTAAAGCCCTGAGTTGAGGATTCTGAGACTGCATCTGAGCCTTTATTATGGCAAGGAGGGGTACTGAATGATGCTGTTTGGGGTTCTCAACAGCAAGGAGGTAGGCACCTGTCAGCAGATGTGACCCACGTGGCATGATTCTCCCTTACCTGTTCCACAGGCTGTGCCGCTCACTACCTCTGGAGGAGTGAAAAAATAAACTTAAGAGACCAGGCCTCACTGTTTCAGGCTATGTGGTCCTCGGCCTGCAAGGATCCTCTCCTGATAGTTCACAGGGAGACAGCAGTGTCCAGCCACGTGACCAAGGAGGAGGGCTACTACTCCCTCCTCAGAACACCACCTCTTCAGGCTTCCCCAGACTGCAGGCCAAGGAAGTGGCCATGGAAGTGACCCAAAGCTGTGCAGAGTAGGGAACCCTGGGAGGCTTAGACCTTTGGTTAAGTAACTCACTCCTGGAACAAAGAACCCTGAGTCATGTTGCTATAATCTTAACACTGGTCTCAGAACTTTGTCACATCTAAAAAAAAAGAAGAAAAAAAAAAAAAAAAAACACCTTGAATGTCCCTCCATTATCTCTAAAGACCAAAGTGAGGAGGTGATACTTGAGCACTGGCCCCATACAGAGTCCTTGAGGATTTACCGTTTAAGAAAACAAGGAGTCACTTGGAAATTTGAGCACTTCCTGGATGTTTGACAATAGTAAGCAGTATTTTTAGGTGTGATAATGGTACTGTGATTCTGCTTTTTTAAAAGGAAGAATTGTTTCCTTTAGAGGTACACACTGAAATATTTACAGATGAAATGACATGATGTCTGGGATTTGCTTCAAAATAACATGGGGGAGAGGGAAGTCCATGGGGGTGTCTAGAACAGAAAATGATTAACTTTTCCTGGCATGAACTATACAGTAAATATTTCAGGCTTTGTTGGCTAGACATCTCTGTCGCCACTACTCAACTCTGCCATTGAAGCACAAAAGACACCATGGACAATACTCAAACAAATGGGACTGACTGTGTTCTAATAAAACTTTATTTTAAAACTGGCCAGATTTGGCCCAGAGGTTGTATTAACAGTTTCCCCACTTCTGATCTAGAGGAAACAAGATAAGCTATGAGTTATCAATGGCTGATAAGTGATGAGTATGAGTATATGGGATTTGATAATACTAACTGGTCTGCTTTTTTATATGCTTGAAATTCTCCACAATACAATGTTAAAAAAAAAAAAAAAGGAAATTGACCATACATTTTTTAAAAAAGATTACTATCACAAATGCTTTGTAAAAAAAGACATTTGGAGCCTGATGCATTAAACCTTCAGAAGTATGTAAAATGTTCTAGTAGTCCTGTAGCGATTCGGAGAATTGCTATGCCACTGGACTGCTCTTGGCCTTCAAAACCAAGATGGAGCCAGGAGCAGTAGGTTCCAGAGTGGCATTGCTACCACAGCTGCACAGTTCTGGGTAGGTTTGGGGGCTCAGGCTCACTACCCGTAAGAGGCATCCGTCTATGGGAGGGTCGCTTTATGTCTCCAACAAGAGCATGGCCTCCCCTCCACTCCCTCCCACACATGGCAGAGCTCGATCAGAATGCCTGGGGATGTTACCTACCCTCTCTCTGCCTCAGATTTCCCAAAATGAGGATGGCAAGACTGAAGCCTACCTCAAACCAGATAAAAGACCCCATGGCACCATCAGGCCTGGACATGTCAGCTCTTGCTATGCAGATGTCATCTCACATGCTTCTCTTTCTCTTCTGTCCATTTGCAAGGGGAAAACACATGCCTTCCAAGGTTGTTGACTGAACACTAGCCCGAATTTTGCCCCAAAGGCTATGCACATACGTTTTCATTGTAGTAGATACTGCCGGGTTCCCCTCTGATGTGGTTCTACCATTCACAGGCCCACTAGCAGGGGAACGAGAGTGAGTATTTCCTCACCCCCTGCCAACACCTGATATTAGCAAACCACTGCAGATAATGGAACTGGGGGC